CTTGCGAGTTCCAACTAAGCAGTACAGTCTCAGCAGGGAGATATACAGTCCGGGGGCAATTGAGGGATGAAGATGGGAACAGCTACGAGGACCACCACCCCAACAGCGAGCAATTGGCCTTTTATTGTCACACCAAGCCCCTTCCTACGGCCTCTTAGGCCATCGAGCCTGGAATAACGTGCTAAATGACACCATCTGGGGAAAACGAGAAACCAGCACGTGTGGGTCGGTGAAGAGTGTCAAAGGAAAGGGTCTTCTCTCGGCAACTACTTGTTAGTGCGGGTGGTCGGGCGTGTCGGAATCACTGACAGACAAGCCTCCGGCCGAGCCCGGCGGAATTTGCAGCCCTGAGTCAGTTGGGCTTCTATCTCCAACATGTAAGGGTTTTCCAAAATGGGTCCCAGAACCAAAGGGGTTCTCCTAGCCGCCTTGAATTTCCTCAATGGCTTGGGAAAAGTCTGTCTTGGGGGACTTGAGATGCGGCTCCGGGATCTCGCTTTGTACCAATGACGCGAGACAGCGAGATCATGATGATACGTCGTACCGTAATGCAACGAGCCGGGGTAAAAATTCGACAATCTACGGCTTCACCGCTAGAAGCAATGATAACACTTCCCCGGTCTCGGCAGCAAGACGACGCCGAGTCGGAAGTGAAAAAAGGTTTCTACAGGTGTTGGAACTTGGATGCCAGGGGCAGAAGATGCAAGACTAGCGCAGGCCAGGATGCGGCACTGACATGTGCGCCAGACGCTAAAATGGCGACAGCTCACACACAAACCCGCAGACAGAAACAACATGGATGCTGGATATAACAAAATCATCAAGGTGTGTCTTGTCTGGGGTAGGGCGTATATATACATGCGTTGGGCTCCGGGCGATACGAGTGTAACGCTACAGGCGGTGACGGGGAGACTAGGGAGCTTCTTTCGGACTGTCGCACACTCTGTTTCAAGCAAGACGTCAAAAGCCACGAGAATGTCGACATACTGAGAAGATCTTCGTTGACCTCATTGTCAGCAATATACCAGAACATGCCGTCATGTCTGTTTTCATTCAAGCCTCTGCAGCTTCTCATCTATTGCTGACTGGATGGTCTAATATCATGCAATTGATCCTGTCTCAATCATCATCTCATCTCTCACGGCTCCTCGACTTCCTCCTCCTCAGACTTCCTCCTCTTCAACCACACCTTGGCCATCTCGTACGTCCCCAGATATAACCCACTCCCCAGCATCGTCCACCCCGATCGCAGAGCCGCACCCCGGAAGAATCCCCGCACTCCCCTCTCCCGGTACACCTCCTGCGTCACCGTCCACGCCCCCTTTTTGGCCCTCTTGCCCGCCATCTTGGCCGCGACTTCATTCCCTTCACTCCCGGCGCTCAGCATCATCCTCGTCTTGACAACATCGCTCGGCGTCGTCAGAAACGCTGCTACTGATCCCGCGCCTCCCGCGCTTAACCCCGTCACAAGCCCCGTCTCGACCAGGGTGGGCTCCGGGGCGTCGTCACCGCGGGATTCCCAGACCCGTGCGCGCATATGCTCAAAAATGGGGAACTGAAGTGCCGTGAATGGAAGGTTGCGCGCGACGAGGGCCGTGTAGCCTGTAAAGAGACGCCGTGATGCCCCGGTCCCGGCGAGCTGACGGAACGCCTGTAAAGATGTTGACGACCCCTTGCTTGAAGTCTCGCCCCGTAGCATCTGGGCGTTTTGCTTGATGACTTCTGCAGGGGCGAGGACTAGACAGGATGCCATCTCTGCAATTGCCGAAGCGGATGAGTGTACTAGAGGTTGTGGTAGCGATGTTGATTTGCCAATGACTTGTTTCGCATTCTCATATGTCGAGAAGAATAGTCCAGCTGGGAACATGAGCAACCCTGTCTCGCCAATATTTGTGAATACTGACCTGCTGGGAGCGTAGCAAGGACTACACTTCCAATGCCTTGATAAAGACCCCGCCAAACGGGTGCCTTCTTGGCCGAACTGGAAGCATATGTTTTGATGTAGTCTTGGCTCTGGTATCGAGTCTTGATGGTGTCGAGAGGATAGACCAACAGGTCAACCGTGAATGCTGCAATAGCGCCAGCCTTGATATGGATATTAGAGAGCTATATCCATTGAGCATAGGTAGTAACTTACCGCATATATCTCCATCGTTTTCCAGGTGAAATTTTATGAAATAGAGCATCATGAATTTCTTCCAGATTTCCGGCCCCAAGATGCAACGAGTCGAGTACTTGCTTCGAGTTGGTGATGTCATGGATCATTGGGTCCCACGTGCGGATGGCTTCCGGAGCTACCCTGCATTTTCCACGTTCACATCCAACCCATCCAATGGAGATACAATTCTCGGGTCACCTATCTATGATAGCAAGCCAATTTAGAAATCAGGGAATTTCAGAAACTTGAAGATTAGGTAGCACTCAATAGTTGTCACATAGAATAGAAATATGCCCAAAGTGTAGCAACGATAGTTAATTGCAACCTTGACAACCTCTAATAAACATAGTCACATTGGATTGCTACCTACCTACGTATCCTCGAACAAACGCCACATTAACATAGGTACTTCCCGATTTGAAGACTTTGCCACGTTGGTTATCTAATAAAACCGTTAGGTCAATTATTCGTGGCATAGGCACCAAGACAAGCTGTGAATCAATCATTGTGGTTGCATAATGGGTTATTTCACCTAGTAGATGAATAGTGAATAGTGAATGCCCCAGCAGCGTAGCATTTGAGGCTTAGCATAGTCTGTAGCGTGATAGTGCTTCCGAAACTCCCCAAAGTCGCATCTGAACTCGAATGTGCTTTTAATATTAAAAACATATAGGCAACCCGACTTGCGCCATCATGTATACAACCCCGTAAATCAATCAACCGCGACGCACTCCCTGCTGTCTATCATTTGACTCCAAAACATCCCAAGTTCCCAATCGCAGTGTGCTTGCGTGCCCGCCTCTATGAGCTGTTCCCATCTCTATCATAAACCCGCTCCCGGAAATAAAATAAAGATAAAAATTACAACTTGCTCTTCAAGCCCGCTGAAGTCTCATTAACCACAGCTACCACGACGCAAATGTCATCGACCTTGCCGCCGTGCCAGTTTTCGTTGGGGTAATACTTGTGGACCTCTTTCGCGAAAGGTCCATCGAGTTTCGTGTTGACACTGGCTCGCTTTGCGGCTGTCACGATTTCGGTCGCGAGCAAACTCTGAAGCGTCAGTGTCCTTTCCTTCTTTTCCTCGGACGCCTCGGGGAGCTGAACTAGAGGTTCCAGAGTATCAGCTACACGGACACCCCCGGTTTCAGTCATAACCCAGGCACCGCTCCGAACCAGAGCCCGGCTCGCAATTCGGAGAATATCTTGATTAAAGAGGTTGTCGAGAACGCCATCAGTCGCAAAGACGAGGACATCGCCATGTCTGAGCGAGTGCTGTGTAACATCCGCATCTCGGGGCAAGTCGCTCAACTGAGCACCACCAAAAGCTGCCATGCGAGCGGCAACACTCGGAGGGACGAGCGATAATTGGAAGGGAGTGTTGAAAGCGTGTGTCTGGGGTTCCGAATAGGTATGGACAGCGTTCAGACGAAGCTGTAAGAAACCGGAATCACCGAGGTTCGCTACGTCCAGGTTTCCGTCTGATCCAGCAATAGCAACACACGCAGTGCTACCACCTGCCCGAAGGCTGCGGTCCTCGCAAATCGCATCATATCCCTTTTGCATCAGCTTCCTCGCTGTCAAGGGAGGATCGGTTTCCGCCTTGTGCTCGTGAGCAGCCACTGCCATGTGGTCGCAGAAGCCATGAGAAAAGTCGGCGGGATCGACACCCGAATCCACCCAGCCGCCAACACCATCTGCCACGCCAAACGCTACTGAGCCTGAATCATTGATCCGGCTGACAAAGAAGGCATCGTGTCCGGATTCGGGACGAGCGGAAGGGCGACGGTTCCGCGGGGGCTGAATTCGATTATACGGGTTAAAGTGGAAAACGTGGGTGGAGGGATCGTAGGGTCTGTCTTTGGCGATAAAGGAGGAGGCGATATGGTAAGAGAATCTTGGTGCGTCGGCTGATGTGGAGTAAAGTTTCGATCGCAAGCATGAGGCCATGGCACAGATCGGTCGGGTTCGAAATCGCGAGCAGGTCTGTAAGGAAGCTGAAAGAAAGTTAGTATGAGTGGCTAAGTAGGAATGCATGGGCTCTGCGACGGACCTCTAGCAGTAAGTAGCGATTGCCATGAAGCCGCAGCAACTCGGTTGCAAGGCGCTGCCATGAAGGGCTAGAGTGGATCGTCGAGGACAAGAATTGTTGCGAGAGATAGCTTCAAGAGAGAAGATGGTCGAGTGTAGAGTCAAGTCGGTCTAAAGCGGTAGGCAATTACAGAGAAGACATCTTGGCGAAGGGATCAAGGAAAAAATTAGTGGTGTTGGAGGGAGTTGGCTCCTCAGAAGTGGGATCGCGAACGGAGAAATAAAGTTGTTGGGTCTCCGATATCTAATCTAATTCTTTTTGGAAGGCAAGCCCCTCCAGTGCCCTGTCCCTTCGAGAAGGAGAAGCCACTGCAGGGCGCTGAGGCTGTGCGATGGGGCTGAACGGCAAAGCCACAGATTGAAAATTATTTTGATTTCCATTTCTCCCGGAACCTCATGTCCGGATTTCCCGGATTATCTGTTTCTCCTCGATCCATCCGCCTTTCACGAGCACCTGCTTCCGATCCCGACCGAGTGTGCCGTCGAAATTGATTTCAACACCCCTGCTCTGATTGGTCCACGGCAAGCGCATGTCTCCATTCCGTAAAGCAATAGCCGAGGGAAGGTTTGCTTCCCAATTCATGACGACGAGAAACCTGGATACGCCACCCCTTGTGAACATCGTCAATTCAACTTCAACGGAGGGGATTGAACGGCTTTTCTTCCTGTCAATTCCTCGGCCGCAGCTCAGATTTTACCCCACGAAGATTGACTGTCCTTCTCCTCCGGTCCCAATCTCGATTTCATCATCATGGCCGCCCTCCGATCCTCTTCTCGAATTGTCGGCGCCGTCTCAAGGACGGCTGCCCTTCGACCCGGAGCTGTGTTCTCTCGCTCCATGGCCTCGGTCAGCGAGGCTCCTCAGGAGCCCAAGCCCAACATGAAGTCCTTCCAGATCTATCGATGGAACCCCGATACCCCCAGCGAGAAGCCCCGTCTCCAGACCTACACCCTGGACCTCAACAAGACCGGACCTATGATTCTCGACGCCCTCATCCGCATCAAGAATGAGCTCGACCCTACCGTGACTTTCCGACGAAGTTGCCGTGAGGGTATCTGTGGTAGCTGCGCCATGAACATCAATGGCCAGAACACCCTTGCCTGCCTATGTATGACTCCCCGCCATTGTCGCGTGCGAGGTATTATTCAATTGAGAGCAAAGTGCTGACGCTCCCGACCAGGCCGAATTCCTGCCGAGTCTTCATCTGATGTCAAGATCTACCCTCTTCCTCACACCTACGTCGTCAAGGACCTTGTCCCCGACTTGACGCACTTCTACAAGCAGTACAAGAGCATCAAGCCCTACCTCCAGCGCGATACCCCTGCTGAGGACGTACGGCCCCCTTTCTTCCTCATTAACATTGACGTGTACTGACAGAGTCAATAGGGACGTGAGTACCGACAGACCAAGGAGGACCGCCGCAAGCTCGACGGTCTTTACGAGTGCATTCTCTGCGCCTGCTGCTCTACCTCGTGCCCGTCTTACTGGTGGAACTCTGAGGAGTACCTCGGACCCGCCATCCTTCTCCAGTCTTACCGATGGCTCGCCGACTCTCGTGATGAGCGCACAGCCGAGCGCAAGAACAACCTCGAGAACTCGATGAGCCTGTACCGTTGCCACACCATTCTCAACTGCACCCGAGCCTGCCCCAAGGGTCTCAACCCTGGTAAGGCGATCGCCGAGATCAAGAAGCAGATGGCTCTCGGCAACTAAGAACCCAAAAGCGAATTTGTCGCGGAACGAACATGATGATTTGAGGCGGAGGTGAAGTTAAGGGTTACCGCAGATGGAATACTGCGTGTGATGCTACAAGGATTGTAACCCTGTGTATAGGCTAGATGGGCGGGAGTTTCACGCTGTGTTCTGATAGCAAACTTGGCAATACTATTTTCTTGGATGTTCAACCCTCGGGGCCTTGTTGACAAATTGTTCATGAGTTTGCTTTTCATTGTTTTGTTTTCATTTCTTGTTGCTAATCACTAGATTCATTCCAGCCTGGAACCGAGACACGGGACACGAGACGATCACGCCAAAACACTGTGCCGAACACCCCACAAGCAGACCGCCATGCCCAAGCACCAAGGTGCTTCACTCGGGCCCTCAATTGGGCTGACTCGTACTCGCCGATGGCTGGGAGTTTGAGAAATAGCCGTATGGTGCCCTACCGGCCTCTGAATCACCGACCTTACGAACTGTCCTGGTATTCAAAGATTTATGATATCATTTCTCATTTTCATCTCTCATTTAGCTCATAATTAGGCTATGAGGTGAATACTCTTTACTGGCTTAACCGAGCGCAGCCGTCCTACAATTCGAACGGCTGCAAATAGATTTTCACAGGTTCCCAGGGCTTCGCAACCATGTACGAACTTGTTTCTGTTTATCGGTGTTAGCTCCGAAATCCCAAGGACGGGCCCGACAGGGCCGGTATTGCTTGCACTCACCATCATACCACTTAATGATGTAAGTCGCATCTATCAAGGGTACTGCGACCCATCCGGGGTGATCTCCTTTGGCGCCCCAGAACAGCTCCTTCATGCCGTTCTCACCCTCGGTAAACCAGAACTCGTTCCACGAATATCTGTCTGGGAGATACTGGGTGCCGGTGTCGTTCCTGATTCGAAAACGGTGTGGGTGCAAGGTGTCCTTGAGATTCATGACGCCTTGCCACCGGAGGAGGGTTAGGCCGTGGAAGAGCTCGTCCCCGGGGCGGGTGTCGAAGTAGAACTGGCCGGACTTCTTCCCGGGCTTGGTGTCGTGGATCAAGATGGGTTCTCGGTCGGTGCCAAATATCCCGACAGTACCCTCCTCGTCACTGGACAGGTAAATGTCGTCGATGTCTTTAATAGTACCGTTCCTGTACCATGTTAGTCCAGCTACCAGAGGTTTGTACGGCTTCTTACGCCGTGACTATGAGACGGTATGTAATCGGCTCGGGGACTTGATGGACCGGATCGGCGGCAATGACGGTGCCCAGGAGAAATGAAGCTGATAGGAGCGAATACCACTTCATCTTGGTATCTTTATGCTTGATCGGCCGGTTCGAGAGTGTTGCGCGATGCAAAGGAAGAATAGTTGCCAGATACCGAAAGAAAAAGACACATGCAGAAAGCGAACGAAGGAAGAAGCTGGCAAAGAACGGCTGTCGAAAGTATATTTAACTTACAGCCCGACAACTCCCCGACCCAACAAGTTGACTCTGTTGATGATGTAGAGCGGGTAAAGTACATTGATGTCTTTTTAATATCACGACTGAACAATGTAAGGACTTGTATAAAAAGACCAAAGAGCAGAAAAAAATATTATGATAAATAATAGACCACTAATACAAATCTATACATTGTTCACTTTATTGTCATATTTTACTATTGGACTTTGATAATGGCAAGATGATGCCTTTGTTCCCCTCGATCACCGTGATAGCTAGATCATGCGGGAGTGTTAATCACTACGAGGGAAGAAACGTATGACAGGGTCTAGGGAAAAGAGTCCTTCTTGCTTCAATAATGCCCCTTCTATTAAGCTCGTGGTTGAGTGCTTGCCACGCGCTTTGGCAATTGGCGATGGCAGTGTGATTGAAAGGTTTGGTGTTTGACTTTGTGCGTCGGTTTCGCCCAAGCATATCATGACGATTCTCAAGATATACTTTTCAGCATCTCTTCGAGTTTTTTTTTTTGACGCAAAAAAGGGTATTTGGGTTGGGTAGGGGAAAATAATTAAAGGTAGGGCAGAGTTCTTGACCGATTTTTTGATCTTATGCTGAGACATACTGAAGATATCGAGTTGACTGTGGATAAAGCTTGAGATCACTCCCATACAATGGGGGCACACCTTTTCACCATATCAAGACATCCATCCCAGCGCCGTCTGAAAGAAATAAGCATCCATTATCGAGATTGTTAGCCGAGGACACCCTTTGTTAGCTTGGTCTAGTGATGCCGCCCCTCCAACTCGGGCAACCATGGCTTGGTGTCTAATGCGGCCTTATTTCAACCGACAGGATCATTGCTTTCCTGGTGTTTCTGAGACTGTATCGCTCAGTTCGGAAGGACTGAGGTAGGTTAAAAATATCTTTAATTTATTATGATTCTGCCCATTTTTCCTGACCCGCCGTTGCCGTGTCTCATAATCGTACGTGGGAACCGAAGAGGGTCTCTACGGCATGCAGCACAGACGAACAAAGACAATGTCAGTGTTCCGTAGCTAAACATGTCATGATCTCGCGCTGTAATTAATTTCAAAAGTACTTTTGCACAAGAGACGCTGACGTTACCCCGACCAGCAAATCCTTATTAAAGTGAGAACGCCCATGACGTAACTGTGTCTCTAAGACCCTCCCATCGGGCTATCTGAAGCGCCCTCGAGCCGTTGACCCAGTACCTGCAGGCTTCAGGTCACATCTTTGTGATTTGCCGTGTTATACGGTCCGTGACGTCGCATCGTCTCTATTACACCTCCCATTGGGCCGTCGGTACTCGACGGGGAATGCTTACACCTCGTATACTGCCGTGTTGCTTCTGAGCATCAAACGTCTTTTTGACTGACGATCATCTGTAAGCGCGGCCGACTGCGGAGTTGTATTACATCCCGCTGTGTCTTGCTGCGGATGTCGCGGCGGCCGATCGACCGGTAATGCAGTATATATTAAACAGACAGGAACCCGCACAATGTGATAATGGTACAATACATCGATTGACTATCTCTCTACGAAATCATGCTTTCAAACGCTCTCTTCCTTGTTGCCAGTCTCGCTGGACTCGTTGCGGCCTCGCCGTATCCTCCATGTGAGCATCAGACCATCTGTGTTGATGCCATCAACACATGTGGTATTAGATACGGAGCGTGAGCAATTCCTACGTCTTAGAAAAAGCTTTCACAGAATACTGACACGGACTATAGCTGCTACGATGTATGCTCTCCCCAAGACGCTCCTACGGCCCCTCCTTGTCCAGCAGCATCTACATCGGTCGAGTACCCGGAAATCACAGCCGATTAAGCAGTCGGCAATTAAAGAGATGTTTGTGTTAAGGAGGAAATGTGACCGAGTGCTGTTGTAGCATATCGGTTGTATGAGGGCTGTGGACAGTTTCTCAGATGGCCAACAATGGTGTGTTGTGTGACCGGCCATGCGTCTACATCACCAAAAATAGTTCAACCAGCTACTCATCCAATGCATCTTCCGTATAGTATTTGGCGCTGCCGCTTCTAAAACTAGTAGTATGCGTTGCCAGGCGTGCTTGTGCTTGAACTCCGTGCATAATCGGCCGCAGATCCTGGGAACGCACCAACTGGAGCCGATGGGCTTCCTCTGATCTCATCATCCGAGCTCAAGTCATCGACGAAGCCATCATCTTCCTCTGGAGGTGCTCGCATGGCTTCCAGGACATCCCGGTCAAGGGAAGGCGGCTCATACGGCTTGATGGTATGAATCTCACGCCCTGATGGCATTTTGCCCAGGAGTGTGTTGGCGGGCGGGATGGCTTGCGTGTTCATCTGTTCTTGTCAGAAAATGCTTCCGTATTTCGCATGAGGCTGCTTACTGTGTCGTTGATCTTGTTCCACTTGGCGTCGAGCATCTCCAAGATGCGTGTTTCCTCCAACTTGCCCGCATCAGCTCCCCATGCAGCCTCCTTGTCCACTCGTCGATCCTCTCGCTTCTCCGTGATATCCTTCTTGAATCGACTGAAGCTGAGGCCCTTTTTGCTGTCCTTGACTTCAACACCCAACTCTGAAAGACCGGCGCGAACCCATCCGATGCCTTCCGCAGTTTGTCCTCCCAGCTCAGCGTCAATACCGAAGAACCGACAAGCGCGGGCCCGGCATGTTCGGCGAAGATCCTCCAGGTACTTTAGTAGCCCGCTGTTGATCTTGTGAGATCCTGAGCCGGCTGAGCTGCATAGGGAAGATGCCTTGGCAGCATGTTCTGACGCTGCCAAGCATAGACGGGCGTAAAGGTGAGCGCGGACTTTTGGAATATCTGGTGCTTTGAACATCCACTCCTTGTCATTCTTGTTCCTGTCTTGAGCGACAATCGCTGGGTATGGATCATCTTTGAGAACAGCCAGCAAAGTTGCTTCCGCCAAGGCCAGGCATGAGAGGGCTCGGGCTGTACCAGGTGAGACGTCGGCGCATGGTGGGCTCGTTGTGATGTGTTCTCCTCGGCCAGCAAGATAGTCGTACACGGAAGCAGCCTCCAACAGTGATTTTGTCGCTGAAGTGATTGCGCTCGTCCTGCCTTGTGCGCCGAGAAACTCGCCGTTGGTCGAATAGAGGGGCTGTAAAGCAGATCGGGCAGTCAGGACATGCGAGAAGCCCAACGTTGAGAGAACAAAGAATATCTCATATTCCAGAGATGAAATCTTGACTCGAGCCCTTTCACGTCCTGGAACAATATCACCTGACAGCGTCGGTCTCCATTCGATGGCCGGGGATGTCTTAAGAACGATGTTGATGAACTCCCCGTTGGGCAGGTTTCTGCTGCTCAAGCCATCATCTACAGCGAGAAGGTAGGGTATGTACCCGTTGAGACTCGATATGGCTGTATTGAGGTTCGAGATCTGAGAGCTAGGAGGAAGTCTCTTGTGCTTCTTTAGCGTATCTCGAACCACCCCGCGATATGTGCTGGCGTTGAGGGGCAGCGAGGGATGTGAATCGGAGCTGAAGCTGGATGAGAAGGAGAAGGCGGATGTTGTCGGGAGGACAAAGGGGAAAGGCATCTTATATTAGACGAGAGCTTGAGGGTATAAAAAGAGATTCAGATGTTGAAGCAAGGGAAAACATGGGGATTCTGTGACGCAACAGGCTTGCCAAGCTCTTGGAAGCATCGCCATACTGTGCAGAAACCTGCAAGATTGACACTGTACCACAGCACTGACGTCTGCCGGCCGGGGTTTCACCGGAATTCGGAGCTCCTTTTCAGGGCATTGGATCGAGTTTCTAGAAGCTCCACCAAAATTTCCGGGGTTTGCAGGCTGTCATCTTAAACACCACGCAAGCAGGTCCCGCCCGCCCTCTCTCCTTTCAAAACACCAAGGGAGCTCCATTGTGTGCTCTTGATGACGCTCGCTTCTCCCACGGATTCCTCGTTCCCGCGGTGACAATGGCTGGCCCTTCTCCGTCACCGCACAAACCTCGTCGCAAGACCAAGAAGACCGGCAATGGCGGCGACAGGCCATCTCGTTCGGAGGCCCTGGTGAGGGCGCCTGCTTTTCCCCTTGCCGCGTTTTTATGGCCTGCGCGCACTTCTTCGTCGCATTGGGAGGTGTTGCCCGTAATTCTCATGGTCGTTGGTCTGTTTAGATGGGCTGCTGGATTATGGGGATATTCTGGTGAGTTGCTTCCATCATATCATGACACGCGAGCATGTATGCTAACGTGGACTACCTCGCAGGTCACCGCAAGCCTCCCATGTTTGGAGACTACGAAGCGCAACGACACTGGATGGAGGTGACGACACAACTCCCCGTCTCGCAGTGGTATTTTCATGATCTCCAGTGGTGGGGACTCGACTATCCTCCCCTGACCGCCTACCATAGCTGGGTTCTGGGCAAGATTGGAGCTCTCATCGACCCCGAGTGGTTCGCCCTCTTCGCCTCCCGAGGCAACGAGGACCCTAACCTCAAGATATTTATGAGGGTGACCGTTATCATCTCGGAATACCTCATCTACGTCCCGGCTGCGATTGTCTTTGTACGACGGTATAGTCGTCTGCAAGGAGTTGCCAACTGGAACGCCTGGCTTGCGCTCGTCGCCATTCTGATGCAGCCTTCGACTATCCTCATCGACCATGTTCACTTTCAATACAACACCGTTATGCTGGGTTTCGTGCTTGCGAGCATGTCTAGCATGATTGCGGAACGTTACAAGTGGGCTGCCGTCTTCTTCGTTGGAGCGCTGGGATTCAAGCAGATGGCTTTGTACTATGCCTTCAGCGTCTTTTCTTACCTGCTTGGAAGATGCGTCTTCCCTCGGATTAACCCAACAAGACTTTTCGGCATTGCTCTCGTTACTATCATTTCCTTCGCTATTCTCTTACTGCCTTTGATTTTGGGCACTCTTCATGATGTGAAGCAGGGAATCGATCCATATGCGGAATCAGATGGAGCTCGACCACCTCTTCCTCTGTTCCCCCAACTTGCGGAAATTCTCGACACCAAGGCTTTCTACTACCCTCTCGTTGTGCAACTGGTCCAGATGATCCACCGAGTGTTCCCCTTTGCTCGTGGTTTGTTCGAGGACAAGGTTGCTAACTTCTGGTGTGCTGCCAACGTTGTCATCAAGCTCCGCCAGTATCCAGCAGCTCTGCTTCAGAAGGTGGCCCTCGGCGCTACGCTCGCCTCTATTATCCCTCCTAACTTCATCCTGTTCCTGCGACCTCGGAAGACGACGTTGCCCCTGGCGTTCGCCACCACTGCTTGGGGCTTCTTCCTCTTTAGCTACCAGGTTCACGAGAAGAGCGTCCTGTTGCCGCTCATGCCCATGACGCTGCTCTTGGCCGGAAAGCAAGGACTGAGCAAGGACACTCGGGCTTGGGTTGGATTCGCCAACCTTCTGGGAGCCTGGACCATGTTCCCCTTGCTCAAGCGTGTTGACTTGAGGGTTCCATATGCAGTTTTGACCCTTCTTTGGTCATATCTGCTTGGTCTCCCACCTACCTCTTTGAGCGCATACTTCCAGGACGGCCAGGCCGCCTGGGCTCAATGGTCAACAGCCCTCCTCCATTGGATATTCTATGCCGCCATGGTGGGCTGGCATGTTGTTGATGCACTGGCTGTGCCCCCTGTCGACAAGCCGGACCTCTGGGTTGTGGCCAATGTCGGTATTGGAGCGGCTGGGTTCATCATCTGCTATCTTTGGTGTTTGTTGAAACTTGTTCAGGAATCTGATCTCTTTCCGACAAAGACAACCAAGAAGAGCAAGACGTCATAGAGTTGTAATATCAGACTAATAGTGTACATCATGTGAAGATAAATAAAAAGCTCGAAATAGAGTGCCTGTTGATAACAAGAGTTCTGAGAGTTAGCAAGGACACCGTTAACTTGTGCATGCTTGCCGCAACTCCACCGGGAAGAAAATATCGATTTCAAGAGCAATGGCGAATAGGAAACTCTGTGCTGAGCAATCGACTTGATTGTGATCTGTGAAATGTCTTGGTTTTATTTCCAGCTGGGCTCAAGAACTCGACGCGTGGATCGACCGAGTGATGCTCATTCAAGGTGAAAGAGAAATGGTGGCGTTTTACGATGCGAGATCTGGACTCCTACTTGAGCTTACTAGCACTGGATGCGTTCTCCTTGGTTCGCGCTTGCGGCGATTCGTGAGGATGGGACGCTGAAGAATAGGGGAGTGGGATAGGGATGATGTATTGAGCTGAGATGGTCCAACTAAAATATCAACGTGCAATTTTCGAGGGCTCATGATTATACGATAAAACTTTAGACTTTAACCAAGACTGCAGCGTTGCAGCAGTTGAAAGCAGTATTGTCAGTGGTTCCGTTGGGGTCAACTTGACTGTTACTTGATGTGGCACAAGCATGCCTTCTATATGGCCCTATTACTCATGTCTCTAAATTAAATCTACAGCACGAATCTAAAGTTTGGGTTCTCGTGAGGATTCTCAGAAGCACCAGCCAGTAGCAGATGAGTCGGCACATCTGCGCTCGTCCAGTTGACGCCCTGGGCCGTGTTTCGTAGAGCATTTTGCCTCTGCATCCACAGCCTCATAAGAATGGTTACGATGATTGCAGCAGCCAAGAAAGAATAGTTGGTCACCAAAGCAGGAATGTACTTTGGCGCACTGTCAGGAGTAAAGACGTTGCTCGAGACGAGGCCGGCTGCGTTGCCGAAGAAGGTGATGAAGGCAATGTTGCTATTTGAGATTAACATGACAGGACTCAACAGTCGATATAAGGGACTTACAACGCGCGCCTGTCTTCGGAGAGAATGTTGTTTTGGTGCCACGAGTGAAACACGATAGATGGAGTGAAACAACCACCGACAATGAGGAAGACTGCAAAGTAGGCGACGCCGATATGGCTCTCGACATCAATCGAGGCAATAATGATGAAGCCAGTACAAGACTAATATACATTAGTAAATAGTTGAAGAATGATTTACGTTGGACCCACAAGTGTGAAGGCTGAGAGCAAGTGATATGTTCGCTCACGGAAGTAATCCGAGCTGATGGCAGTGCTGAAGAGAAGAACAGCAGACACCATGTAGGGAGGAACAGTGTACAGGTTGGTCTTGACAGCCGAGTAGCCCTTGAATCGTGTCAGATGCAGTATTTAGTAGGTGCTTCAATGTCACTCACAAGCTTGGCAACAATAAGAGGCGTAAAGTTTCCGACAGATGCATTGGTAACTCCAAAGCAGAAGGCGATAAAAGCCCAGGCCCAAAGCTTCCAGTCTCTCAAGGGGGCAAAGAAGTCGCGGATCTGAAACTTGGATCCCACAGCTTGAGAGGCATCGCGGAGGGATCGGAGACGGCAGATTTCTCGCTCCCGGTCTGTAAGGAATGAGGACTCCTTGTGAGGGGGGTGAGGTAGAAAGACACTGGACTTGTTAGTTGAATATCCTCATATATAACCACAGCTTGGTTTTGATAGGTAATAGGGGTAGAACATACAGAGCAATCAGCCCAATAGTGATTGTCAGAGCACCCTCGACTAGATAAAGGCACTGCCAATCATGCAAAGATCCCTCAATCTGGAACAAACCAAAGGCAATCAAACCAGAGAATGCTCCTGAAAAGGTCTGACTGCCATAGAACGGGGCGATTCTCTTGGCCAACTCATCTCTCTTGTACCACTGAGTCTAGTAAAAGACACCGCCGACTCCAAAGCCAGCTTCAGCCATACCCAGAAGAATCCGGAGAGCAGCGAGACCGGCAAAGTTCTTGCATGCTGGGGAGAGGATTACGGTGGTTCCCCAGAAGAGGAGGTAGCAGGGCAGTGTCCACCTGGCTGAGAGCTTGCGGGTGAACATGTTTGCTGGCACAGTCAAGCTATTAACATGGTTAATGTTACATCTAGAACGATGGAAAGCTTATACTTACGCGCAGTATGGGACGTAAAATACAGAGACCAGGATGTTGTACTCATGTTTGGTGAATCCGAGGTCGACATCAATACCATCAGTCTTGGCAGCACCTAAGTTATTTCGATCTAGAGCACTGATATAAAGTTAGACTTGCGATTTCAGAAAATTAAAGGAGAAAACCTACTTGAACAGGTACATGAAGAAAAGGAGAGGTAGGACTCGAAGATCAATCTTTCGGACAACCCTCCTCTCCTCCTTGGAAGGTTCTTCATGGACATCGATATGAGGCTTCACGCCTCCTTCCTTAAGAACGTGTGATGCCACCATGGGATCTGATATATCCTTAGAGGATGCCATTTTTGGGGTTGCTTAACGTTGGTTTTGACACTGCCATACTGTGGAAGCTGTTATCTAGACATCCTATATATGCACCTGTCGAACAGTTCGACACCGAAAAACATGGGATGAGACTAGGTGAATCATGCTAATACCGACCCTCTATTACGCCATATCAACACAGTCGTTAAAAACTCGCTTCCCCGCCGCTGTTGGACCAGGTTACATGGTATAGATCAACGGGGTCTCCAACGAACTGGGCTCACTCCTATCTAAACAGGGAATAACACGGCCCTGCCCAAGTGGATTCGCGCGCCTAGTCTTGCCGCATAACTACTAGCATAGGATTCATGTCCTAGATGGATCGTCTAAGCGAGTCGTTGACTTGTCGCTCGCCATTGGGTCCCGGGGTTTGAAGCTATTCGGATCCATGCATGCGCGGAAATAAGTTTATCTGCTGACTCGGGGGAATTTGTATGGTTTCCAATCATGGTGCAGAGACGCCGTCTCTATAAGTTTGGGTACAGTCTAGGGCTTCTATATATTTGTTTAGGTATAGTCTATCTCTTCTAAATCACCGACCCCCGAAGATGGAGCGTCTTCAAGTTATCCACACGCCGTCTACGTTCGTTGACCCCGGCGAGATACCGCGGCGTCCATTCATCCTGCCACTCCAACAGACCGAGGCTGTCACCGCCTGCACCCGCGAGGATCGAATGTAGCTGGTTCAGGAACTCGACGCTGCCTGGGTACTTGTTGTAGTGGAAGAGCGCCGTCTTGTGATCCACCTCTTCGAGCCGCTTCTTTTCCCACTCTTCCATTTCCAATATCGGGGGCAGCTTTAGTTTTCCGGAGAGGTACGATGCTACCAGTGCAGCTTGGTATTCAAAAATTCTGAAAGAGACGCTGTTTTGAACAAGACCGACAAACGAGAGAGTAGGGTCTTTCCTCCAAAAAGTGTGTAGGTAAGTTCCTGGGACCCAATCTGCAGTGAAATTTTCGTCGTAATTATGAACTGCTTGAGGCGGGGATAGGAAAGGAAACGAGACGTGGTATCCCGTGGCAAAGATGATGGCATCTGGTCGAACTGGAGGACCACCATCCTTGAAGAAGTAATCTCCTGTGCTTGGATCGACATGGCTTGACTCGGGTCGCACCGATATTCCTTCAACCCCTTCCAAGGAAGTAGGATACATCCAGCTTACGCTCCGATGGGAGACGGTGAGGCTGGATACGACGGGCATAAGATCACGAATAAGATCTAGGGCGGTAATGCCGTTGCCGACAATGATGACAGTCTGTTGTGTCAGAATTGCTTATTCACGGTGTAAGCTGCGGCAACTTACCTTGTTCTTATAAGCTTGAACTGATCGAAAGTACTTGGAATGTAGAGCACGGCCTGGAAAGTTCCGATTGTACTCTTGGAGGCCTGGTATTGAAGGAATTTTGGGAACCCAGTAGATACCAGTCGCTACGACAAGGGCATCAAACGACTCTTCGTACCAATAATCCTCTTCAGGCTCGGACCTTCTCAACGTCAAGACCCATTTTGAGTCCTGTTTAGAGGCTCGCTCAAGAGTGGTGTTCAAGACAAGAAAGTCGGCATGTCTCGCATGAAGCTTCTGGATATACTTCAAGACACGGGCTGCAGAGGGAAACATTGGATCAGTGTCCTCGGCCGGGGGAGTCTTGTCAACTTGGGAGAAGTGAACATAGGTATAAGACATGATTTCCTAGCATTATGAGTAAAATACAACTTTTGGCTGTTTCGAAATCACATACAACGTTGACGTTTGTAGTCAGAGTCTCGTATACTGGCGCAGTAGTCCATCTTTGCAGTTGTTGCTTTGGCGTTCGCGCTGGCAGTGTAGAAGGCGGTTGAACAGGAGGATCTACAAGACTCGGATGAATCATAGGATCAGCAGGCGGTACATCAGGATCCGGATCAAAGTTCCTATCAATCGTCAGTCGAGTATAGCTTCAACTCGAGACTGAAGTCGTACCATGCCCCTCCAACTTCAGCCCTCCGCTCAAACACCTTGATCACGTCAAACGCATTGCTCCTCCTGAGGGCCTCTGCAGCTGCTGCCCCAGATGGACCTGCGCCGATTACGGCGACGCTCTTGACTGTTGACATGTCGGAGCGTGAAGCGATGGGTTGGGGAATATGTGTGAGTGTCTCAAGTTGATTGGGCCGTCTTTATCACCGGCCTTATATCCGGAAGATACCGTCGTACAAATAGAAAAGAAACGACGAATCCTTGATGATTTAAAGATTCGCAAGCTGTAGCTCAAATAGCATCATCGACTTCCCCACAGCTTTGATATCCCCGGGGGGTTTACGGTTACATGCACCCGATGGCTTGAGTCATGGACCCGGACATAAAGGGATCTAGAGACGAGTTGAAGGATTGTAGTTAACTAATGTCAACCGGGATTTATAGACGCCGTTGATGATCACGCAATGGAGACTAACTAGATACGAAATGATACTCCAGTTTGGAGACGACTCTTCGGCTGGCGTTTCTTGATATCTTTCCCGTCGGCTTACACCCGAGTTGAGGGGACCTGATTGCCCACAACCCATATACAGTGGTATTTGGAGTTGAACGAGACTGGCAACAACTTGATTCAATATCCAAGCCATTCATCATGACCAGTCCAGCTAGTTCAATCATCATTATTGGTATAGCCAGCCACTGACCCCTTCTTTTGGTATCTCTTATTAATGCGTTTTAGGCGCTGGTGTGTTTGGACTGTCCTCGGCATTGCACTTGCAACAACGCGGCTACCGAGATATCAAGATATTCGACAAACAAGATTATCATGCTTCAGAGTACTCACCCTTCAACGGAGGTGACTCGGCGTCATCTGGTGAGTGTTAAGCCGTTACGTCCTGTCTCAGACTAACACACTGCCATCAGACAGCCACAAGGTCATCCGCAGTGCATACGGAGACTCAGCCATACTTCAAGACCTAGCAAACCGCGCCATAGACAAATGGAAGCAATGGAACAAGGAATCTGGCCAGGAACTATTCCAAAACATCGGCTGGGCACGTCTCACAGACATTGGCAGACCCCAAGACGTCGACATTGAGACCTTCAAGACAATGAGCGAGGCTGGATTAGGCCAGACGCAGTACTTTCTGCACTCAGAGCAAGATCTTAAAAGAGCAGAAGCCGATGGATGGGGTGGTGCCCGTCTTGATCAGTTTCAACGACGCAGTCGAGGTCTCGCGCTTGACGGCGTCTTTGACTCCAATGCAGGATTGGCTAACGCTGACTTGGCATGCAAGTATGCCCTTGACCTTATAGAACAGGAAGGCGCAGAGACCTACTTTGGGGACAAGGGCGAGTTATCGTCCTTGATTAGAGATGACAAAGACGCTCGTCGGGTCATCGGGATCGTGACCAAGGATGGGGAGCGTCACTTTGCGGACTTGGTCATTGTTGCTGCGGGCCCGTTTTCTCCTCTCATCGTTCCAGAACTGAAGAGCTTCATGACGACCACGGCTGGAAACTTTGTCTTCATCAAAGTACCTGAGCATTTGCAGCATCGTTACCGCGCTGATGTGTTTCCGACTTGGGCTTGGAACTATGCTGGTAGCTCAGAAAGTGGAGGACTTACCGGTTTTCCCTTGGACAGTGAGTTCCTTGATGCTTTCCCCTATTTTCTCCCGCTGGACGACTCGCGCTTTGTTCTTTGTGTTGCAAAACTGACCAAAGTAGGAAACGGCATTCTCAAAATCTCGTATCGATCTCTGAAATGGACAAACCCATCAGACACAGACTCGGAAACACCCTTCTCAGCCCCAGCAACGGCTGAAGAGGTAGAGAAGCGAGGACCACCGCTCTCACCGATCGCAGAGGCCAAGGACATTATAAGGGAGAATCTGCCAGATTTGGTCGGGGCAGAGATTACGGCGGTAAAGATGTGTTGGTATGCAGGCACTGTTGATCTCGACTTTGTTATCGATCGTGTACTGGAGACTGGAGGTCTTTTGGTCGTCACTGGTGGAAGTTTTCATGGTGAGTTATCTGCACAAGTTGGAGACTTGGCGCTTACAGATTATAGGCTTCAAATTCTTGCCCGTTCTGGGCGAGTACGTGGTAGATGTATTGGAAGGGAAGGAGAATAAGTACACACAATTCTGGCGCTGGAGAACTCCTACAAAAGAACAACAAGAGAGGATTCTACACAACACTCAATCGAACGAGAGGGTGTGGGCAAAGCAGAAGCTGGCCACTCCCGAAGATCTCAAGTGGTAGGCCCCAATTGAGCCTCATAGGGCGCCGATAAGGAGGGGTATATGCTCCTTCCGATTTCTGCTATGATTTGCGGGACAAGACGTTGCATTTGAAACGTGTCACGGCGTGGTGATTTGTCTTGCTTCCTGGGGTGTATGGCGATATAAGGCTGTGAGAGGAGGACGAGCATGTGGTGGACCAGGGCCTTGAAGAAGGCATGTCAAAATAGATAATCACATTCTATGAACAGAATATCTTGAAATGTACTCATGTTTCTGTCAACTACCCAAGATGGTGTTGTCGGTTAGACAGGAACATCTCGATTGGAGGCATGAGGTTGTATCGGAAACAACCTTAAAGGAATCTAGTGCCCGTGTCTGCATGGCTTGGCAACAAGTTCACCCATCAAAATCAATGCTGACACTGCAACTCCAACAGAAAAAAGGTTGCCCGCTTACAACCACCTTTTCAAGGCTGAGGCTGACTCCTCCCCCACTAGTACTACCCAGCGATGCATAGCAAGAAAGAGTGGCTGACTGTGTTGCTGCTGAGAGCCAAATACAGTTATATTACTCTAGCCGAGAATCTTGGCCAGGCTGAGCAACTGGTTTTCCTACTTTAGTTTCCTCCATGATTAGGTTTGTCAGGCTTGGAGGAAACTTGGCCTTCACGTTTCGGACTTGACCAACAAAGGGTCAAGGTTGGCATTCTGGCCAGTGCAGCACCATGAAACTCGTAATTCCAAGCAAGTTCAATATGTTAGAGTGGTTGCATGACCTAAAAGATTCGCTGAATCCTAAAGTTCCTTTGTTCCCTCCCTGCTGCTGTTGGTTGGGTACGACCCTCCACCACCACAAGCCCTTCCAAGAAAACCCAACATGCTAATTGCATCCCTCAGCAGGATCGAATGCAGCTAAATGCAGCGCCTCGTTGGGAAGCACAGATGTCGATGAGCAAATCCAGGTGGTCTCCCTCAGCCCCCAGAGGAGGAGGGGGGGTTCACCAACTTCAGCTGCCCTCGTACACCCTCTTTGTCCTGTACTCGTGTCCACGTAGTGATAAAGTGCTTCATGACTCAGCTCCCGTGTTCCATCTGTCCTTCCTTCCTCTCCTTCTTCTTCTTATTGTGCTGTCAGTTCTCTCATGCTTTGAAATCATCTGCTTGCTATCCACAAGGCTTGAGATCAGATCCCGAGTGATCCTGTTACAATGCTGCCGAGTCCCTTCGTTATACTCCCGGCCCTCCTTGCTGCGGTATGGGCCGCTGGAGGACCTGAGGCTCCTACCGTTTCTGGCTTTCTGACAGAGACCCTCGATGCTACGTCTACAGTTGCTGAGGCTGCAACAACTGCTTCGTCTTCAGGGGCAGCAACTCACACAGTCAATGTTGGAGCGGTAGGTTATATCGAGTGTATGAGAAGTTACACCTTGCTGATGGCTTCATAGTCTGGACACAAGTTTACCCCTGCCGAAGTCAAAGCCGAGGTCGGCGACGTTATCGAATGGCGCTTCTATCCCAGCGGGCACTGGATCATCCGAGGAGACTTTGAGCACCCATGTATCCCCTACGAATACGTCGACCTAAACAGAGAAGGGTTCTCGAGTGGTGCTCAAAAGGTCCAGGCCATCACTGATGATGTGAGTGAATTCTTGTCCAGTTACTACCCATCCTGATGCTGACATGTCCAGGCTCCCCGATTCCGAGTTCGAGTCAATAATACCGATCCCATCTTCTTTTACTGTGGTGCACCCGGATCCTGCGTAAAGTGGCACATGATGGGCGTGGTGAATCCCGTAAGAGTTCTTTGTGCCCTTCTTAAAGCGAATGATTGTTAATCAGAGGACAGTCCAAGAATGAAACCCTCGACATGTGGCTCGAAAAGGCCAAAGATGTCGACTACCAGCTACGACCTGGAGAACCATGGCCTACCGAAGACGATCACCCCAGTGAGACTGCGAGTCCCAAAGAATCAGATCGAGAAGAGGATGACGAAGACACATCATCAAACCTTTCCCCTGGTGCCATTGCCGGAATCGCCATCGGAAGTGCTGCAGTGTTACTCTTGGCCGGCGCCTTGCTCTACCTCTGCGGAAGACGAGGTGGCTTCGACAAGGCATACCGCAAGAGTTTCCGTGGTACTCCCAATCCTCCGGTCGCAGAAACACAATACAACTCTCCTAATCCTTCTGGATCTCCTTGGGATGTGAACAAACCACTACCAGGCGTAGTAGCAGCTCCCTTCGGCCAAAGCCCACCCATGAGCCCTCACCAATCCGTCGGCTACGGAACACACCCCGCAACGCTGGCAGCAATGATGGCCCAAGCCCAAACCCAGGACGGAACAATAGGGTCGTACTAGTGAGTTATCTCTCTCTTCTTCTTTCCGTGTGGCTGTGTTTGCTAACCCGGGCGGCGTCCAGCAGTGACACTTATACGCAGCATCCCGCGCCTTCGCCCTCGCAGGGTGGCACGACGCCGAAGCCCCCCGAGCAAACTGCACCCGCCGAATTGCCTGCCTCTGCGGATCCTGGCAACTCGCCTCTGCCGACCTATAATAACAACAACAACAACAACAACAACAGTCGATCACAAGTGTTTTCATGGGCGGGTGAGGAGACTGGCTACCGTTCGACCAACAAGTAGTTTAACGGTATGTGTACATGTTAGATTTGAAGTGTTGCGGCGTTCAAAGTTGGGTACATGCGGAGTCTCTTTGTGCTGGTTGGCTTTGGTGTTACATGGCAGTTTGTATACGCAATTCATCTTGGCGACATCACGAGTGGCTGTCTAATGCCGAGTTTATTGGACTCTCTCTGATGGAATCTAATATTAGTCCATTTGTATGTAGGTAGTTTTGGTCAATACTTGCAAATGAGAAAAGCCTCTTTGAGTTCCATCATCCTCAACCACGAGGGCAACTTAGATTAACGGAAAGCCTACTTGCCGAAAACCAAGCCTTCCCTTCTCATTCTGACAAACAAAGAGTTGCTGACTCGTCGTCAGCTGACCAGGGCCCTTGCGCTGATGATGTCCGGAATACCTAGCCATGCTGACGCTTGTCATTCCTACCCCTTGCCAACACATGCACATTCCACTCGATGTGCATGCCTCTTCACTGCAATTTTAACCCCCCTCGAGCCAGCAATAACCACCCACGCCAACAACCACGAAGAGGCAGAAGACGGGTCAACACCATGCCAAGTTGTGCTTGACTGCTATATGCGCTTCAGGTTGACCAATTGCTCGTGCTGTTGCTAGAACACTCAAGTTGAGTTGTTGGGTACGCATGGGAACACAATGACGCTGAGAAGTTGTGACGGCGACAGTCGTGAGCAGTAAAGGTGAACAACCCTATACCTTGTAACAGGGCTTAGACGGCGACACACCTTCGAGATCAAAATTGACTTGAAGGATCACAGGGATGCCACACACCCAACATTCACAGAATCAGGACCAAGTATTCGAAGAGCCGAACCGCCTTTTTTAATTCCCCATGCCGTATCTATCCCATCCTTAGAGAGACCCAATCCAGCCATGAGCAGCCAATCCTTGCACGCCGAAAAAAGACATGTAGGAGTCGACCAACAACCCGTTGTGCGCGTGAGCTTCTCCGAAATTCGTGAGGTGTCGTAACCGTGCGAGTCTTTAGAGATAGACCGCTTAGTCGAAGAGACCGAAGCCCATGTCCTCGTCGGACTCCTCAGCCTCCTCCTCCTTCTCCTCCTCCTTGGCCTCCTCGGCGGCGGCACCACCGGCGGCAGCACCACCGGCACCGGAGCCACCAGCACCGCCGGAGGGAACGGAAGCGAGCTTCTCAGAGCCCTCAGCAATGAGCTAGAGTAGAATTGTCAGCATGCTGTGTGCGTGTGGTGTTGTAGATCGGGTTGGCATACCTCCTGGATGTCCTTGCCCTTGAGCTCGGAGATCAGGGTCTCGAGGCGGGAGTCGTCAGCCTCAATGCCAACAGACTCAAGGACGGCCTTGATGTCAGAGGCAGAGGGAGAGGCGTTGCCGCCGAGGGTGAGGAGAAGGTAAGCTGCGAGGTGCTTCATTTTGAATGTGGTTTCTGGTCGAGCGCGTTAGGGCTGTGAACTTGAGGATTTGGAGTTGCGCTTTGCGACAAGTAAAACTCGACGGCGGGAGACCAGCGCGCAACAGGATTAAATACTTACTTCTGGAGTCAGAGGAGAACACGAGAAATCAATCAATTTAACCGCAAGTTGGGCGGAGACTGAAGCCTTCGAGTCCTTTGGTTAGGTATGGTTTTCGGTGTGACAAGGTAGAAAAAGTTCACGGCGTGACGAAGTTCAAGGCCAATTTTGATCCTGTGGGCTGCTAGCCGAATTTTTAGGGCGGGGCTGCGGGGATCCCCTGTGCCTTGTGCGTTTCTGTGGACTGCCCGGAAAAAGTCCCCCGCCGTGGTTCCGTGTCCCTCGCGCGCACAGCCACATGGTAGCCTGCCTCGTGCCGGGATATTGGTCACGTGTCCTGGCGCCGCGCTCCGGTGTGGCGTTTTCCCTGATTTCCTCCTTCGCCCATAAAGGTTGGCTGTCACTGATTCTTTGTTCTTCACGCAACTGTATGATTTTCCCCTTTGCAGTTTTGTGATCGCCTGAGCTCCAGGTGTCTTGGTTGCAAGTTTTGGGCCGATTCGACCTCGAACAAGCCATCTGTCGCCTCTGCGCCTCCCGCCACCAAGAACGCTTTTGAGTCTCACATTGTTTGCAAGACTTCAAAGTTCCTGACGACAGCAGACAAAGAGCAAAGCCCGACAAACTTTGCCGCCCGCTCAATGACTCACAATTCACGCACGAGCTTGCTTGCTCCTCTCTTACTCTGAGGGATCACCTCCACATATAGCCCTTCTCTGGCTCATCTCTGACGCGATGCCGGTGAGTGACTGACCCGGTGGCCAATCTTGGGAAAAATCGTTGACCATGGCCTTCAAGATCGGAGACCTCCTGGCCCAGATCAGTGGCGGCGACGATGGGGCGTCGCCGTCCCCCGCACAGAACCTCGCACGATCGAATACTCTACCCAAGAGGAAGGCCGACGATGACATTCGCCCGTTCGTCCCCAAGGCGCCTCGAGTCACGACGCTATCTACCACAGTGGCACCACGGACATCACAGCCGCCCAGACCCCGCCCTAACGAGACCTCGAGACCGACTCAACCATCACGTCCGCTCGATAGACCGACGCCTTCCCAGCGGCCATCAAATCCGATAAATGGTGGGGGTTCAAAACCCAATGTTTTGTCTTCGAGACCCATGAACGGGGGTAATCGGATCTCGAAGCCTGCCCCTCCCAGCAGGCCGTCCCCCGGCCCCTCGAACGCGCCTCCCGCCGCCCGTGGTGCACCACCGAAAAAGGGTTCTTTCGCTGAGATTTTGGCTCGGGCTCAACGAGCCCAGGCCACGATGGGTCAGGTCGGTAAGATCCAGCACAAGAAGGTCGAGGGTGGCAATATCAAGAGGGAGAAGGAGGAGGCCAAGGCAGCAAAGGCGGACCCTCGAGACGCTAAGAAGCCAGCAAGGCCAAGTCATCCTCCAGGCTACTCCGGCACGGCTAAACCAGGCCAACGGAATGGCACACCTGTCAATGGACAAAGCAGGGATCCACGTAACGGTCGTGATAGCAAGGCCCCGCCTCCGGCAAAGACAGAACGGGGCAAGGCAGCTGGAAGCAAGGCTTCTGGCAGAGCCGCAGCGGCTGCCGAGGAAGAAAAGAAGGTGAAGAAGGCCGTCACGGCAACCACGGGATACACCGGCACAGCAAGACCGAGGCCCGGGAATGCCACCAAGAAGAAGGATACCCCCCGCGGTGGAGCGTTACTCAGCGCTCCACGGGCTCCTCGTCCGGCGCGTTCAAAGTCACGTTTCGAAGACGAGTACGACGAAGACATGGACGATTTCATTGATTACGACGACGAGGAAGAGGATCAAGGTGGACCACGATATGATTATGCGTCTGACGGGTCCTCGGACATGGAGGCCGGTATGGACGAGCTCGATATCGAAGAACGCCGGGCAGAGCAGATTGCTCGCCGTGAGGATATTGAAGAGGAGCGACTTGAGAAGAGACTCAAGGCCGACAAGGAGGCGCGCAAGCGTCAAGCGGCCTTGGAAGCACTTCGTGCTCGACGTCGATGATCCAACTTCTTTGTTATGTCTTTATCGATGTCATCTCTTGGACAGGATGACCATTGGGCAGTAATCACGCCTCACATGGTACATCTCGATGAGGTTTTTGATCGAGTTACTCTACTCCAGTTGGTTCTTCAATCATCACACACTTATCCACCTGAAACAATACTTCACAACAACGCGAGCAACGGTCGAGGACTCGGAAACGGAGGCGTTTTATGAGATGTGCTTTTCTTTGCTCTCCCCTACTACAACGGCTTTTTATCTTGCTGCTTTTTCTCCCTTACCGCGTCTATTCCACACGCAGTAGGGACCACATTAGCGACGGAGTTGTCATCTTTCCCTCCCCTTTTTTCTCCTTTTTTTGATTTTTTTCGTCGCACACTGTCTTAAAGGGGGCGGCTGCATGGTTTTGGTCAAGACGGGGTAGGGGGCTCGGGCGGGGAAGGGAACCCAGATCGGGGATCACGAGTGGCTTTTCAAAGGGAACATTGGCGAGGATGGGGCTGTAGATAGTTACGGACACGTACACTGGATGACGCTTCAGAATGGTATCTTGTCTAGACGTAATTGCAAAACCCTACGAGCTGAGCTGCTACAGCTTCTGTCTGAGCTCCCAACCAAGCCTCCCTCTACTGTCACAAGTGTTTGAGCTTCTTCTCAACACCACCAACAGCCATAGACTGGCAGTCTATCACCTCATGTAGTTCTTTTGTTAGCAATAATGGTATCAATTTTGTAACGCACTCGCGTATGACACGTTTCCGCTTGGTAGTCTTCACACATCAGTGTGAGTCGCCACTTTGCAACTACACACTTGAAGCATCTCATCCACACACGTTCATAAGCAGGAGAGGACACAGTGAAAGCACAAACATAGGTAGTTTTCCCATTCCAAACACGTCTAGGAACTAGACGCCATTAGTGACCAGAGATTAGCTCAACGCCTGTGCCTAGCAAACCCAAACGTAAAAATTGACCCAGATAAGAAAACCAAAGGGGTCGATCACCGGAAGGCTCCAAACTGAAGCTCCAGCCGCCCGGATACAACCGACTTCAGGCACTTGATCCTCGACACGGAGCCCACTATAGGCAGTAACCCGCACGTCAAGCTCAAGTCAGTAACCGACCATCGTACTCATACACTAATCAAACAAAAAGGGCAGGATAGGGAACGTCCATCCGTGGGTAACTATCCATTTTCGGAACTTGAAAACGACTCCTGGTAGGCCATCCATATGGTCCTAAGTCCGGGTTGAGAGGTGACTATAGTAGGCCTTGACTCTCACGGCAGATCGTCGCTCTTGGATGACTTGCCGTTGGTGCTTCCATACGGTCTCAGCAGCCAGCCTTGATAGTGCTTGATTCCTTGGCTGTTGTTATTGTCGCCGGGAACAATGGAAGGTGGTGGGTTGCGACGAGGCAAAGCAGGCTCCCGCTTGACTGGAGGGGGAGGAAGGGAAGCCGGGGCATCGGGGAGCAAACTGGACGGAGGAGGTTGCGCGGGAAGCTCGGCCTTGGCCTTCTTGGTGACTTCGTCCTTGACCTCGGATGGATCAGCCGCGTCTATCGCTCCCTTTTTCCGGAGGTAATCGATGGACTGAAGGACAGTAAGGTCTTCCTGCTCCTTGTCGTTGAGAATCAAGCGTTGCTGAATAGTCAGACGTCCATTGTTGGCCTCGCGTTCTTTCATGGCGGCCTCTCGGACCTCGGGATCATGAACGAAGCGGCACTTGCCCTTCTTGCCGCATGTTCCACCAGTGGAATAATATTTGCAGTGTTTGGAAACGTCGGCTTTCTTTGCGGGAGGAGGTGGTGGAGGAGCGACGTGGGAACGAGTAGACATGACTTCTGGCTCGTCATCTGAAGACTCTTCGGACGGATCTCTCATCTCATCACCCTCATCCCCTTGTTCACGCTTTCGCTTGATCGACGACTCAACCTTGCGAAGCTGTCGCCGGAGCTTGTCGGCCTGTTTCTCCAGCGAGGAAGCCTTGTCTTCGCCATTTTGTGCCAGCTCGGCAGCCTTCTTAGCCTCAACACGGGCCTTTGTAGGGAAATGTTTCTTTCGATCCGCCAAGAACGCCGCGACATCTTGGATCCTGTAAAGAGTTAGGAGGGGTCAGTGGGAAATGGCTTGGCCACTTACTGGATGGTCTCTTGCCCGATCAGGTCAGTCAAGATCTTCTCTTCTCCCTCGTCGTCCTCAGACTCCGAGTCCATTCCAGGAGTCAAACCCAACGTGTTCATCTTCCGCTTCTTCTTCTTACCCAAGGTAGGAGGTTCAGGCTTGTTGTGATTGGAGTCATTGTGGCTAGGCTTGTTGTGATGGCGGGACTTGTCGTTTCCGTGGTAGCCTCCACGTCCTCGAGAGTTCCCATCTCTAAAGCCACCTCGGCCGCGGCGATTGTGGCCATAGTAGCCATCCTGGTGAGGTGGTCCAGGAGGCGGAGGAGGGCCAGGATAGGGATATTGCGCTGGGGGATAGGGGGCTGCCCGAGGATCATGAGGATATGGCTGGCCATAACCGTTAACAGGTGGTGCCATTCCTTCATGCTCATACCCAGGGCGAATGGGGCCGTTCATTGGAGGCTTTGGTCCACCACGGTCACTGTAGCCACCTCGTGGTCTGCCATTGCCGTAGTGGTTCTGAGGCGGTTGTCCTTGACCACCCCACTGGGATTGGTTAGGAGGGGGAGGAGGGCCTTGATAAGGGTATGGCTGGGGACCGCCATACGGAGGCTGCTGCGGGTACTGAGAAGGTGGGTAGGGCTGGGGAGCGTAGTTAGGGTGGTAATTGTTGGAAGACATGGGAGCGGGCGAATGCCCGTGAGGTGGAGGATGGCCATGTTCAGGTCCCCATTGGGGCTGCGGCGGTGGATAGCTTCCGGCCGGCGGGTGGGAGCCTCCATATGGAGGAGCATTGTGATGGGGAGGGTAGGGTTGACCACTGTACTCATAGTGACCTTGGGGTGATCCGTGGTAGTCACCGCGACCTCCATTGTAGTGGCCGCCGCGTCCTCCTCTGCCATGATGCGAGCCGCCTCGGCCCTGACCATGCTGGGGGTAGGATGGTGCTGGGGGTCCATAACTTGGGGGAGCAGAAGCCGATGGCGGCGGGGGAGGAGGGCCGTAACCGTAGCCTGACATGATGGAAAGTGTTGCTGGATGAAGGGATCTCGGATCTAGCGGGCGTAGGGAAGGTCTGCGCTGGTAGTGTTCAACCTCGTCGATAATCTTTTAAGCGATGACACACGATGGTTCGTTGCTTCGTTAGGATGGAAGATTCGGGCGTGTTTATAGCTTCTCGATGGCAGATTTCGTGGTCGACGTGTCGAGTGGGAAAAGGGTTCGCGGAGGCTGCAGAACGAAAAGGTTACGCACAGTAGAGTTGAAGTAAGGAAGAGAGATCAGAATCAGCGCCGAGAAGAGGAGGAGGAAAAGAAGAAATACGGTTCAAACGCGGAAATTCAGAAAAAGGCAGCAGCCGAGAATGGTCGCGGCTGCTTGTTTGATTCCCGTCGTCTCTAGAAAGAAGGAAGGCACGATGACGGCCGAGACGGAGCAGTGTGAAAGCTCCCTCCTTCCCCAAAAGCCCACTGCGACAAGCTGTTGGAAATTATCTGCACACCGCAATCGCAGCTGGTGGGTCGGCCCTTTTTCTGGCAGGCGGTGAGGCGGGTCTGCTAGGGAGCTAACTCCAAGAGGGTTAGCGCCAGCGGCATTCTTTTTCTGCCGCGACCAAGGCCGTTTCTTTGGTGCAGTCAACCACTCAAAGTGTTTGGGCCGCTGAGACACCCATGGGACGAAGAACCTCTTTCTTATGGCGCTTGACAAATATTTCGATTCTTTAGAGCAAGATTTAAGAAAGTCCCGATACTGACAGTGACTCTGGAGTGAGTCTCACGTGCTATCAGCATGTTCATCCTGGTAGGTTGCACCCCCACCAAGCGTCATCCAAGTGAAACCGTGACTGACACTCTCAGACCAAAATCGCCGACTTGGTGCAGATTGCGCCGGCAGACTTCTCCAAGCGGAGCAAGGAAGCCATTGAGGACAACATCAACGCCAAATACTCCAACAAGGTCATCCAGAAAATTGGTCTCTGCATATGCTTGTATGACCTGCAATGGGCCTCAGAAGGTCTCATCGGCCATGGCACTGGCCTGGTCAATGTCAATGGTTTGTCATATTGGCCTTTGAACTCTGATGACCTTCGCAGCTGATCAAGCGCAATCTCTAGTCGAGTTTCGCATGGTGGTGTTTCGTCCCTTCAAAGGTGAGGTCATGATGGCCAGAATATCAACCTCCACGCCCGAAGGCATCTACTTGCAGACGGATTTCTTCGCCGACATCTTTGTTTCGTATGAGTACCTACCACCGGGTGCCGAATTGTGTGTATTTCCGTTGGTGAATGGGTCATTGACCGACAGGCACTGACAATTTCCTACAGTAGTCATAGCCATCAACTCTGGGTCTGGAACGTTGATGAAGAGCAACGGCTCCTTTATGAAATGCACGAAATGGTCCGCTTCCAGGTCATCGATGAGGAGTGGCACGACCAAGCACCTGCTGGACCAAAAAAGCAAGAAGAAACGGAGGCAACGGCACCATACAGAATCAAGGGCAGCATGATTGCTGATGGACTAGGCCTGTGCCTCTGGTGGGACTAGTAGCTATAGAATTGGATACGACAAGGGACTGAGGATAGAGATTAGGGGCCAAGGAAAATGTGCCACGGCGTCTGTCGGCGTATGTATATTGCTCGTTCTATGAATCTACGATTTGATACCCGCCAAGAAACGCTCCTCGACATCGTCCAGGACCGAGTAGTGCTCGACGACAGCCAGGTTCTCAGCCTCGGCCTTGAACTGCTTGTGGGGGTCCTGACCGGGGCCAGCCATGGGGTTGGCCATCTGCTGTGCCTGCATCTGCTGGGCGACCTGGCTGGCAGCTGTATTGCGTTAGTTATTGAGTCTCAATGGTTGGGTGGAGTATGGATAGAGGCTTACCGTTGTCACTGCCAAGGAGAAAGACGTAGACAAACTGAAGACCAAAGATGCAAAGGAAGTACCAGCTGATGCTAGACATCCATCGGGGGTCCATCTCCTTGGTCTGCACACCAGCCTGCAGCATGCTCTTGAACTTGATGGTGATGGGGAAGGGCAATTTCACTATAAAAGTTAGACAAAGTCTCTACATGTCAACAGAACACATACTGATAACGTAGCCGCTGAAAAAAGCGTTGATCCAGCTCATAATGAGTGTATTGGGAATGATCATAGCCATGTTGTTCTTCATCATGCCCATCATACCATCCATGGCGCTGGGATCGGTCAGGGGGTTGGCAGGAGGTTGGCCCTTGCGGTCGGGCTCCTTTAGGTACGCTCCAGACTCGAAGCCAGCGGTCAGAACATCGCGGCGAGCCTCAAAGGCCTTCTGGGAGAGGGCGTGGTGGTTGGAGCGCAGAGCGACGCCGCGGGCAAGGGACCGCTGCTCACGCATAGCCTTATTGTCCTGCTTCTTAGGCGCGGTCGCCATAAGGACGGATGCGTAGTGGCGGAGGACACCGGTCAGGACCATGACGATGGTGATGGGGATGAGGATCCAGTAGCTGGGAGTTTCAGGTCAGCAATTGGCGTGAGGAGGAGCTTTCGAAGCTGTGCGTACAATAACTGGGGGTCCCTGTGAAGGGTCTGGATCGGAACTTGCACCATGATGTCGACAGTCGAGGGCGCGCAATTGGTGAGGCAGAGGCGAAGAGGTTGACGTCGTGTTGCGATGTAGCTGTTGGAGGTTGTGAGGTCCAAGACGCCAAATAGCCACGATCCATGGCGTCTCTAATGCGCCACAAACCGGTGGAGCTCCGACTATGCCGGCAGGCGGTTGAGCCACATCTGGCGCTCATTCTAACCTCTTATTGGCCAGACTCTCTTTGAAGGGACAGCTATCCCACATGCTTAAGCCCCACGGCAGCCGAACCCCCATGATGGATGGATGGGCGAGCTGAAGTTGCACTTACATACAGCCAACTTCAACGGCTCTTCGTTCGCAACACATAGCAACACCCCAATCTCCGATTTACGCGCCGTTTCTGGCCTCTAGCCCATCATGGCCAACGCAGCGGAAAAGATTTCCGTCTACAATCTTGCAGGTAAACGCGCACCAGTTATCCCATGTCCCATTCACGAACCAGCTCTTCTGACACGGTGGCCCTCGCGAACAAACAGACCTCAAGAACACATCCGACGACGCCATTCCCAACTACCTCAACTCTCTCAAGTTTCGACAATCGCATACCCTCACCGATGTTCGCCTCGCCCTCGGTTACAGCGCCTTTGGCATCGCCGCCGCTTGTTTCCTTTGGGACTACAAGCTTGGCTTCGAGAACACCAAGCACTTTACAGCTGCTGCCGTCGCAGTCTATACTCTGGTCAACACTGCCTTGACACTATGGGTTACATTCCGTGAGAAGGGTGTCATTTATGAGGGTACATCGCCGTCCGGCGAAAAGGTACGGCTAACCCCCTGCCATTCGCATACTTCTTCTAACAAGTCCTCTAGATCTCCATCAGCAGCTCGACCAAGAAGAATGTCCCCATTTACAACCTCGCCATCACCGTCACCGACAACAACTCCAAGTCTTCGGTTCTCAAAATCTCCAAGCCCTTCACCGGCTGGTTCGACGAGACGGGCCAGTTCGTCGCAATCCCCTTCCAGGAGCTGCTCGCCACCTCGGTTCCCCTGATCGGAAAGCGTGATCCCAAGCGCGTTACTGTCTCGCAGGATCTCCTCGATGCTAGCCCCGATGTTCTCAACGCTGTTCTCGCCGCCAGCGCGGGTACGACCGAGGGTAGCTCGACGGCAGCTGACGCCGGAAAGAAGGGAGGCAAGCAGCGACGCAAGGCGTAGGAAGAGAGTTGGGGATATCAAAATGTAGAAGAAGTTGGGATTGACTGTTCGTTTTTAATCCGGCGTTCAGAGAGGATCGTGTCTTGATACCATGTTAAAGAGAGGAAGTGAAAACTCAAGGACAAACTCGTTGTATCCTAGGTGATATTATCAGAGTCACTGCAGGACCTTGTTCATGTTTAAGGATTTCATCGTCATGGGCATTCATCTAGCCATCTTGCGACAGCCAACACGCAAGATTGAATGTCAACGCCGTATATAGCCTCTATATCCGGGCTCCCATCCATCCAGAAGCCCAATGCTTGAAAACGCCGAGTTCGCTCACTTGAGATCCGCCCATGCCACTCTCGCCAACCGTGCCGTCTTTCTCACTTCTCGCACACGATGTCCACAGACCATTGTCAGTTCTCGCTGCACCTGAGGTGCGTGTGGCAACAGATGCTGAGACTCGTACATGCGTGGTAAACCTCCAACAATCTCCAGAGCAAGCTTACCGCAAGCGCCCTCTGTCTCGGGATCAACGCTCGCGGCGGAGGACCTATGCGAGAAGACTCTTGTGCAGATCTTGATGATGCTTCGGAGATGCCCCTTACCCTTCTCAGGGGCCTCAATAAGCGTGTTCTTGAGTACATCAAGAGCAGCCTTGGTCTCAGGGCCGATGTTGCTGTTCTGAGCAACGGCGATAGAGATGCGAAGAATTTTATCCGCGTCCGCCTCGTAGATCGGGAAGTTCATATGTTTCACGATGAGAAGAACTCCAGTGCTGTAGTTTGACTTGACCTGCTGGTCTTGCACCTCGGCGTCTTGTCCGGTAGCGGCCTGCAGCATGGGGCTCACCAACTCGAAGTACACCTTCTGCACCCATAGCGGCTTGACAATAGCATAATTGTCCTTGGTCAATGGCTGCTGGGGAACCACAATGACCTCGAGTCGTCTTGCAAGTTCAGAGCCAAGTTTGGCATCCTTTGGCGAGTCTTTGATCAGTTGGAGAAGTGGCTTTGCTTCCTTGCCGCTATATCGCCGGACCATTCCTGCGGCAAGGGCATAAACCGAGGTGATCTTCTCTAAGCGTGATGCATCATCCTCAGGTGAAGAGGCTGAAAGCAGATTCGATGTGAGCTGTTCAAGTGCAGTTACAAGGCTCGGCAAAGTCTCGATCTTGTACTTGTTGGCCAGGATGGTGAGAATAGATAACGTAACCGGTCTGCTTGGGCTGTAGTTTGCCACGAATCCGCTGAGGATCAGCTCTTGTGCGACTCCTGTCTCGAACTATAATCTCAGTTAGCAAAGTCATGATACAGCACATTGAACAGGATAGACATACAAGTCTTGCTACCGCAGACGGCTTCAGTGCTTGCAGTATACCAAGAGATAGGACATTGGGAGCTTCTGATGCTAACCAACTCCACGATGACCCGTTTTCACCACCGGGAAATTGCTCCTCTGATGCCTTTTGGGGGACGGTTATAGAATCATCACGGAAGAGGCTGATGGCGAACGCCTCGGCTTTCAGTGCAGTCTGTTGAGACTCGCTAAACTCGTGAACCACAAAACCCGCCAAAGTAGAGATCAAATGGAGGTATTGGTATCCAGCGGCCTGGGCCATACCAGTAAAGTCGTCACTCAGGGTAAGTGCCGCTTTACCAGAGTCGACAACCTTGGTGGCCCTGCGGTAAAGTTGCCGAGAAATGAAAAGACTGACGAGAAGGAACTCGCGTCTAATCTCATCAACAGACGATGATTGCGGAATCTGAGAGTGGTAACCCACTGACGGCTCGACCTGCTTCTCTCCACCAAGTTGCTCCAGCTCGGGATAAACGGCACTAACCCTTTGCAAGGGTTCATTCTCAAGGTCGAGATCTTTCCGTGGGGTTTGTGCCAGGCAAGCATCATTGAAGTGTCGGATTATAGATTGGACAGTCGCCGCCAGAGCGCACCAGACCCGAGGGTCTGCCTTTGTCTCGAGAGCGTTGAAAAGTTCCGAAAGGAACGATCGAATGGAGTATATGAAGTGGTCGAATCCGTTCCTGGGGGTTGATGGTAGCTCTGAGGATCCCACAAAGGCAATATGAGCTCCAAGGGCTGTGATAGTCTCGGACGCTTCCTCTGCTCCTCCACTTCGCCAACTGGGTCGAATAATGGCCATGGCCTGGTCAACCAGGGGGTTAAAGCCCTTGGGATACAGACGAACTGCACGTTGCAGGGCCTGAGTAGTATCATTAATAAGCTCGTCACCACCAGCTGACCGGGGATGTCCTGGGCCGGATTTCGTCAGGATAGCGAAGAGTGACTCGCAGATCTCTGAACACGTTGCTTCAGGAAGAAGTCGCTCAGAGCCAGTATTCGCAGCATCCTCAGCCGCAACAAGTGACTTGGCCGGCCTTTGGCATAGCAAAGCTCCAGCCCCCTGAACTGCCTGGGACGCAATCTTGATATCGTCGTAAGAAACGTCCGAATTTGAGCCCAGATTAACCGCCTTTTTGAAAACTTCATCGTAGAGTGACTTGAAGAAGGCATCAATAGCGGCAAAATCTTCTCGTTCCTCTGCAGTCATTTCTGAATCGACAAGCAGAAGTCGAGTTTCCAAGACAACATGAAGAACCTTGAGTAGATCCTGGCTGTGCACAGGAGCTTTTGGATGCCGCAGGTTCTCTTTGATGTGTGTCATGACAGGAGCGGCCATCAAGACGAAAGCACTGGGCTTAGCGCTCAAGACACTAACCAAGAGTCTACCAGCAGATGATGCGTACATGGTGGTAGCAAGATCTGCGACGCAATCCCTTGTGACAGATAGAGTATAGTCACGGAGGTCATCACCCTTAAGTCTGTTCGTAAGGGATTTGAGGACTTCCAAGGTACCCCAGATGGTGTCTTCGATCTCTCCATTTCGGACCTCGTACTTGAGACTCCCCCAAAGTCTATTGCAGTAAGGGGCGACGGACTGTTCGGGGTGTGTGTACTCGTCCAAGCAGGCACGAATGGTTTTGAGAATATCAACCTATTGATAGTTAGTGAGGGCAACTCTACAAAGGGGCATTGTGGCTCTCACCTTGACATTAACAGTTACAGCATCACCCTGGTCCAACTTTCCAAGAAGGAATGGAAACACGTGATCAGCTAGCAAGTGGGTAGATGAGAAGCACTTCCGTAGCTGCAATTTCAAGTCTTCAGGGGTAATGGCAACTTGTGATGCTCGAGGAAGAGAGATCGGGAAGTACGGCTTGAAAGCACCGTAGACCTCCTCCAGAACCTCTTTTGAGGGCGAATATTCGGACAAGAATATTCGCAGAATGTCGAACCAGACCATCAAACACTCGGGATCCCTCTCACTTCGACAGAGCTGCATGAGGTCAATCATGAAGCCAGCTGATGAGCCATGCCGATGCTGCAGATCACCGGCAACTTCAGGGGTAGACATGAGCAATCGGATAAGCTCGTAGATGGTAAGTCGGGTCTTAGACACTTGACGAGGAAAGTCATCTCGCAAGGCAGTGATCTTTTGGATGATGTCGTTTCCGCTTTGACGCTGGAACGACTTCATAGCCGCTATCCGGGTTAAGGCAGTAGCAGAAGGCATAATGCCAGCTTTGTGGTCAACCTCGAACATGGCACCAAAGAAGCTAACCAGCAATTTTACTACGAGTTGTCAGCCAGGATGCGGGTGTATAAGACGCATGCTACATACCTTGACTTGGCTTCAAGACGTCCTTGCTCAGAAAGTCCAAAGTTCGAGAGAGAAATTCCAGAGCTACAAGTTTCATAATTAGCAAAAATGATAACCAGTAGCGTTCCTAACCTACCCTTCGCTCTAGCAGTCCAGTCTGGTGTCTCATCTTCGGCTTCATGACCACTCCCTGGCATCCACGGTTGCACGGCTTCAACCCATCGTGCTACTGGGTTTGTATTGGCAGGTGCAGTTTGAATCTCTGCAACATACAGTCAGAGAATATCCCTCGCGAAAACAATAAACATGTTCGGAGAATAAGTACCCTTAGCAGCCTTCTGAGCGATGGCCGTCTGTCGCCCCTCATCATCGGCCAGGACAAACTCGAGGGCCCACTGCCTGAAATCCGCCATGGCGAGCAGGGATGAGACTTTCAATCGTACTCTAGCGTATGCAGATGCGACGATGCAAGTTCAGGACCTATCGCTTGGACTTGGGAGACTTGGAGTCCTCGGTGCTCGGGTTGTGGTAGAGGGCGGCAGAAAGTTGATGCCCACCAAAGGCGGTGAATTTTGATGGCGGGGTACAAGACGCTTTCGGTTTGTTGGTGAAGGAGAATGCGGCGGGTGAGAGGGTTTGATAAAAAGATCTTGAGGAAACTGAAAGCGTCTAGTTCCGATTCAATAAGATCAAAGATGGACTATCAATTTGGTCCAATTGTTAAGGGCGACTTTGTCATCCTTCAAACTCCGAAGCCGGACGCTCCTCAAGCTGAGAGGATTGATAAACGCCCGCCCCCACTATTGCCGGTTTTAGTGACGATAGAGCTCGAAGCCCCCGGAATTCAGTGGTTTAACCCTGTCCTACCAAATCTTTCCGTCACGACTCCATAAGCTCTCCCTCTTCACCTTGCGACGACATCCAGACTACGATACCCAATTGGAGCTGGTACGTCCAAGGACGATAATATCAGCTCATCACAATGGCTTCACTACGAATTCCCGCTATTCGCCGGCTCGTAGCCGCTCCCCTACGCGCGACCCAAGCCGTCAACCAACGCCGATGGGCTCAAGTTCACGATATCCGCTTCCTCGCAACCACACAGCCACCACAAGCCGTCCTCGAAAAGTACCGCGAGAAGCTCAACCAAAAGGCCCAGCAGGAGGGCCACGAGAGCATTGACCAGCTCAAAGCTGCCTACGCCGAAAAGATCGACGCCGAGCGCCGCAGGGATGCCGTCGAGCATCCTCCCGGAACCATCCCCCAAGCTCCCGATACCCCGACCATCCAGCCAAACAAGGACCTCCCACCGGGTCAGATTGAGCCTACAGAAGAGCGCGAGGCTCCGAGGGCGCCTCCTACGGGAGCTGGCAAGCCCGCTGTCAAGACACTCAATAACATCATCGACCTCCCCAAGGCGCGAGAGCTTCCTGACAAGGAGCTCACTGCCATTTGGCGCCTGCGACATGCCTCCAACGAGAACGCCATCTGCGCAGTGATCCCAACCTCGACTTACAAGATCATGGAGGAGGCTGCGCAAAATGCGCCCCAGTTCGTCCTCCCCGTGCCACACCCGACGCAGGGCGCCGAGATTCATTTCCTTCAGTGGACGTTTGATGCTCAGTCTAAGACAAGCACCGTACTTTTCACTCAGCTCGCCGAATACAAGAACCGGGGCGAGTTTGCGCAGCCACACACAACCATCACGCACCATCTGGACCTTGCCGATGACAGAGGCCTGGTCCTGATGCAGGGTCAGGTCGTCGAGGATCGGGGCATCAAGCCCGAGAATGCCAGGTGGTTGGTTATGTGCCTGCAGCGATTCTACGGCGGCTGGGAAGGCGAGAATGCTGAGCTAAACGGTGAGCGCAAGGAGAGGGCTGAGGAGCGAAAGAAGCTTCTGGACTGGTTTGCTGCCGGCGACTCGAGGTTCAGCGTCGAGAAGTTGATGGAGGAAGCCGAGCGAATAGGTTAATCAAAAGATGTGAAACAGGACGACATGATTGACATATTTGATTGTATAGAGGTGGAATAACAGAGCCATACCTCATGTAAGATACAAAGCATATTGTACAAAATAAGTAACGATACTCCGACCCTACAGCTTGGCCTTTGGTCCCCCTTCTTCCTTGTTCATCTGGTCCCTCAATATGCGCCTCAGAATCTTACCGGATGGTGACTTGGGGATCTCTTTGATGAATCTCACACCTCCGCGCAACCGTTTAGAGGGACCGACTCGGCTACCCAACCACTCAATGATATCAGCAGCCAACTCCTTGCTCCCATCTACGCCGGCGCTAGGCACGACATATGCACGAGGAGCTTCAGTCTGCTCGTCTTCGTTCCAGACTCCAATGACGCAGACATCAGCGATATCCTTGCGACCGATGAGCTTGGCTTCTAACTCAGCCGGTGCGACTTGGAAACCCTCTGTCGAGTTGTCAGTAAGAATGGCGCACGCGGGCTTCGTTATACGTACTGTACTTAATGAGCTCCTTGATACGGTCTGTTATAAACAGATTCCCATTTGTGTCAATGTATATGACGTCGCCAGTCTTGAACCAGCCATCCTCGGTAAAGGTCTCCTTGTTGAGCTCAGGTCTGTTCCAGTAGCCTTGGAAGACGTTTGGGCCTTTCAGGAGCAGCTCACCAGACTGTAGTCACATTAACGGTTTTCGACATATGAGGGAGACAGTATAATTCAGCAACACGTACCTCGTTTGGTGGCAGTTCATTTCCTTCAGGATCAACAATCTTGGCCTGCATGTTGGGTACAAGTCTCCCAATTGACCCAAGATACCGCCTCCACTCATCAAACATCTGTACCGAAACTGCAGGACTCGTTTCCGTCAATCCATAACCCTGCTTTACCATGACTCCGAGACGATCCCATACTGCATCCACCAGATCTCGGCTCAGGGGCGCAGCAGCTGAGTTGACGAAGCGTAGAGACGAGAGATCATACTGCGACACCAAGGGGTGCTTTCCCAAAGCGAGAATAATCGGTGGCGGCACGTATACAAAAGTCAAGCGGTGGTCTTGAATGAGCTGGCAGGCTTGCGCAAGATCGAACTTCGCCATGACGACGCACTTTGCGCCTGAGAGGAGGCTGACATTGAGGACGACGCCGAGGCCCTGGAGTGAGGTCAGTACTATTCTCCCTTCCTCTTAATAGGACATAACTCACGTAAATATGAAAGAAGGGCAACACTCCTAGTTGAGCATCCAACTCCCAGTTTATAAGCTTCAGGTCAAACTTGTCAAACTGACAGGCGTTGGCAACCATGTTGTAGTGCGTCAACATGACACCTTTCGGAAGTCCCATTGTCCCCTAAATCATTAGTCTTTTCTCACTGTCTACGGAATATTCACTTACCGAGCTGTAGGATAAATACGCAAGGTCCCTCTGCGGATCAATTGTCGGTTTCCTGGGTTTGAACCAAGCACCTTTGTCCGTCACCTCAGTCCAATGCCTGAACCTCCCAGCATCGTCCTTCCCATCGCCAAGAAGTATGATCCTCTCAGGCTTAAGGCTCGCCAGCTCAGCCGCCTTGCATGCTGTCTGCAGAAACGCCTTGTGCGTGACGAGCGCCTGGGCCCGCGCGTCAACGAGCTGGCTAGCAAGCTCTTCGGCCGTATAAGTCGGGTTCGCGGGGCTTGCGACGCCACCAGCCCAGAGGACGCCGAGGTTTACGACTGCGGTGTCGATGTGGTTTGGGGCAAAGAAAGCTAGGACGTCGCCTTTTTGCCAGTCAAAGGTGTGTCGGAGACCTCGGCCAAAGGCGGCAGAGAGATCGCGGATCTGGGCGAAGGTGTAGGAGCGGTTCGTGTCGCCGTCGATGAGAATTGCTGTACAAAATGTCAGCTTTGATCTTTCAATTGTATTGTGCGGAACACAAACGATGGTCATCAGGGAAATCGCGAGAGCGTTCCATATATAGGTTCCAGACGTCGACAAGAGGGATGTCGACGTCTGCGAATGGTGACGAGTACGGCATGGTGGGCAATCCGGGATCAACGGATGAACAAGTCAACTTCTTCCCTCAAAGAAACATACAGCTCAAAATGTAGGATCAAAGAACTAAAAACCATCACAAGAAAAGATACATTCAGGAGCTCCTTCACATCTTATGTCACATCCTCCAAGCCCAAGTCGCACCACGAGCCCCAGAGTTTACGCCTCCCAAGACCACATGACGATCCCCTCAGCTTCCATCTAACCGCCCCGAGCCAACGAAGCCCCCTGCTTCCTAGGGTGGCTTTTCCTGATGCTAGGTCTTGTCCCTCCGGAGGATCCAGACCGGGGTGGTGTGCTGGTGTTGTACGCCGGGAACCGAGCTTGCGCGGGGGAGGGAGAGGTCTTGGCTGATGCGGAATTTGAGTTTGGGACGGTTGGAGAGATCGACTCGATGATCGTTGCCGTTTTTGTGCTTGACCGTTTCATGGCCCGAGTCCCTGGATATGGGAAACGCCATGGCTTGTTGTGTCACCAAACAAACTTATCGAGCTTTTGGCATAGTATCTGATGAATTGATGAATCTATATGAATAGCAATATTCTAATTAATATCTTATATCCTCCTCTAATTCCTATAACAACACCGTCGCTCAAACTCCAAACTCGAGGCCAAGGCAGTGATGTTAACAAAAGCCAGTCAGAGCTATCAGCAAAAGACAACGTCTCTATCCTTCTTTTCCATCATTCAGCGTTTCTCGTGTATATGTGTGTCGTTTATATAGGTGAATGTATGCATGTATCGTTCATCCTCATATCTCATCTAGTTCTCACCACTGCTGCTTGATTGAGTTTCATCAATCACGTCCTCAGCAACAGACACCTTTGGCTTTCGTGGCTCGACATGCTCGCATCCCTCCGGGACACGGCAAATGTCACGCACATCGCACGTCTTCCAAAGCACCTCTCGCACCTCCTTGAACACCTGGTCCACTGCGTCCATAGCCCAGATCACGTCAAGATGCTCATACTCAGGAATTGTCTTGCTATGAACCACATCAACAAAGGGCTCGCGACCCTTCTCAAAACGTCGGAGGAGTTTCTCGCCATCAACGAGATTGTCGTTTCCACAAACCCAAAAGGCCATCGGCGGTGCTTGCTCGTTGTACCATGCTGTCGAGCCCTTGGGATGTTTCCGGTGCGCCTCGATAGCTGACTTCGTTCTCGGTGTCACGGGCCTTCCGTCGGTTGCTCCATCCATGTGCTCCTCAGCTTTCAGGGCATCCTTAGTAGCCAAGATACACTTGTGCTTGGCAAAGCACTCCCGACCGAGCCACCATCGCATCGACTCGGCGCTGACGTATACAGGCGCGAACTGGAACATCCTGTTTCGAAGGCCACGGTCCCAGCGGGAATCTGTCCAGTCGAAGAGGAAGGAAAAGACCTTGTAGCCGAGCCATCCATACACGCGTGGATCCAGAAGTTGATGCATCTGCATCATGAAAGGGATAAAAGCGTGAATCCCAAACATGAGTCGAAATAGGCCGGGCGAGATGATTCGCATGAACTTGAAGTACATCTTGCCGATTAGAGGTCCAGCGTATGCTGCGGGAGCAAGGGCACAAAAGACTGTCAGCTTCTCTCCTAGTTCAGGTCGTTGTTCCTTTGCCAAGGCAACAAATGTTTGTGTCGTCCCCTGAGAGTGGCAGATGAGGCCAATCTTTTCGAAACCCGTCTCGCTGATGATTCGCGATGTCAACGCAGGGAGATCAAAGACACCCATCTGCCGAATATTCCAACACCACATCCTCGGGTCGCTATACTCAAGCAGTGTATGCTTGGGCTTGAAACCGCATCGATTATTTCCCAACCAGACATCATAGCCAGACTTGCAAAGCCAGAAAGCAAGGGACTCGTCGTCGTTGCAGCAGTACGCCCCTGAGCTCTGCAGCAAGCCATGCATGAGCAGCACGGGAAACTTGGGCTTCTGATTCGGATCCTTAAACTTCCTTCTGGGGCCTTGGAAAACTTCCGGTCCTCGGTGAGATCGGGTACTGCCATCCAGCTCGGTGTACTCCTTCGGATCGTAAACGTGCCATAACTCAATCAAGAACCCATCCTCGGTCTGCACCTCAAACGTTTCAACATCGAGCCCAACTCTCCGCGCATAGTATGCCACATCGCACAGGATCGGATCAGGTCCACCCTCGGTTGGTGGAAACGCTTCGGCGGTTTCTACACGGTCCAAAGTGAGCCCGCTTGTTGACTTCTTGTGCATCCAAGCCTTTTCTTTTTCATGCCTCACGCGGGCTCTGCGCTTCTCCTCTTCGAAAAATGGCCGACGTGCGTCAGGGTTGCGGAACGTTAACCGGTAAAAGATGTTCCTCCAAAGCGAAGGGATGCTTGTAAATAGAGCACCCAGAACAATAACTCCAAGAAATGCCAAACTGAGGAAGAAGGCTGATATTCGGAAGAATAGACATTGAATATTTCGAAGCATTGAAGGCGGCCCGTAAAGAGGCAATGGGGGAAAGAGAGGATTCGTGTGCGATGGAGGCATGGCCTTTCGCAAGGTGCCATTAGTCGTCGACTTCTGCATTGATGCGCCATTCTGTTGTTCTGGAAGCTGGACGACTTTTCGGTGTCGCGTGTCTGCACTTTCAACATTGGAGATCTTCTCCTTTACCTCGTCGCCCTCCTTGATCTCGACGGTCTTGGGTTCCCCTTGGAGCTCTTCGCGGAGGACATTAAGTTTATGCGCCTCTTGCAGGGGTACACCGGGAAGCCGTTGGCCATCTGAAGTTACAATAACAGGGTCTTGAGGTGTCACAAACTGAGCCTCGACGGCTACAGAAGGATCCTGTCCAGTCGGGTGTTGGTGAGAGAGCTTTTCGGCCTGTTGACTGAACTGGACGGCGGTTTCGGCCAGCTTCTTGCCGATAACGCGAGGGGTCCGCTCTTGAGCAGCGCTTGTTGTTCCATCATGTTTCAAGGTCATTTTTGAAGTCTTTGGGTTTGGAGAGAGTATGCAATGGCGTGGTGAGGTCCAAAGTCCAGTCGGATATACGAAGGGTCGCGTATAGCCGTCCTGATGATGAGGGACTAACAGGTCGAGATAAGGTGAAGAGAAGAACTAACCAGCCAGATATATCCGCATGTCTGGCAGGAACAGAAGCAAAAAGAAGAAATAAACTTGTTCGAAAACTTTAGAAGCAAGAAAAGATTAGTGTTCAAGGGGAGAGGGTGGGATGGTGAACGTTAAGATGACAAAACCGGACCAATAGGGTAGGTCGGCGGCCAACTTCCACTTTGAGAAGGGGTAGAGCCGTGATTGGATGACAAGAATAAAGTACGGATACTGAGATGTTCTGGGTGGATTTTTAGGACCCTTTTGTCGTCCGATTGTTTACAAGACAGAGCGTTTCAAAGCTGAGAATGGCGAGAAAGTTGGCGGCGGTGTAAGGGCCCTTACATCTGACTCGCTGCGAAATATGGTTGCGTCATGGGCGTTGATACAAGGGGGGGCTTGGAAGCGCCGCAGAGGAGGGTGGGCTAGCACTCGACGAGTCTGTCACTCGCCGCCAGGGAGTCGGATTTGTGGCGGAGACTGCCACGACGTGGAGGACGGATGATCCCTGCTCGAAGCATGTGAAGGGGCTGGGGGATCATCACGCCTGGTTCAGTTCCGGCCGATCAGGCTGCAAGAGCTAATTTGCACTGCCAACGACCAAGGCCTGGACTTGATAAAAATCTTGGACGTGTCTGTGTGTCAGTGACGGCGTCGGTATCTGGGTGGCGGCTTCATCTTGTTATTGGGGAAATGATTTGAAGTGTCCGTGGGGAAATGGAGCGTCATTGTGAACCTCAGGAGATAACAAAACTGACGATGGAGGGGAATCCACCGAACAAGAGCATCATATCAGCCTCATCGAGACTAACTACACGAATACGATCATCGTGCACCACATGCAATAATAGCATCTGATCTCTAAGCTGTTGTTTCTCTGTCAATCCAGGGTCTCAACAGCTGACCCTTTTTTACCCCGGAGAAGCCGGTACGTACTTCCCGTGCCCGCGCCCGTGCTCCGCGGTCGGTCGGGGTACGTACCGCTCCTACCCCGTGTCGCGCGCCAATGCCGAGGCCAAATTCTCTGTCCCCCTTCCTCTCGGTCGCTTTGAGCCGCAGCCGAAACGGAAGCCACATCCCAATCTCCAATCTCCAGTCGCAAAGGCAACCGCTTTGCACCTCGGAATCTGGGGCCGTGACGACGTCGACTCGGCACAAACTCCTCACCTGTCGCTTCAATTGTCTCTTGCTAAAGTGACTGCGTGTCCCGAGTGTGTTGTTCAACGCTTTCTCCTTTCATCTCTTGCTACACCGTCCCTCCAGAAGCTCCGGATCGCGATGCAACCATCCCCGCGTTGCGCCTGAAGCTCCATCTCTCGACCGCCAGCTCCATCATCACGACCCCACGCCTTACCTTGACGCACATATCAAGATGGCAAGCTCATCTCGATCTGTTGTAACCTCGGCCAAGCGACGAAACCGCAGACGTCGTCAGGACAAGCCATCCATCGCCGCCAAACTCATCCTCGATGACCATATCAAGAGCGATGTCGGCATTGTGTCCGAGGACATTTTCCACGACCTCTTCCCTAACGTCAGCGATGGTATGTCGCCTCAGTACCTAGATGCTAATACCAACTCATACACGGCATCGAAAGGTTACTAACCTTGGATTTGCGCAGGCGCTGGCCAGAATAACATCCATCATATCGCGATCGCTCCATGGGCGCCAAACGCGAGCCCGGCCGACAGTCCGTGGTCCATTGTCCCGATAATACAGTCTTCTACTCTCTCTCCCTCGACCGTCCGATTCTCGCCCTCGTCCGCTTCCCTCCAGAGCTTCGCCGTCACCCTGCAACAGGTTGCTCCGTCCAAGTTGTCGAGTCATAGTCGAGGTGGGATCGAGATTCTCGTCCTCGACGTCGCTCCTGTACCGCTTGAAACCGTGTTTGTGAGCTTGGAGAGCGAACTAACAAAGAGGCTTGAGAATGGAGAAGGCACATTTTATCGAGACCACCCTACCAACGGCAGGGGCAAGAGCGCTGGCAACCCACCACCAGAGGAGCGTCTTGTGAGTTCTCTCAGAGCTGCTCTAAGTACTCTAAAAGTCGTCCACTCTGGTGATCTGTTTCCGCTTCCTCTCCCTCCGCATCCTCTCACCCATGTGCCGCCGAACCCGGGCAAGATCATGTTGTGCGAGCCAGTCGCCCAGGGTATCCTGACCAAGTCAACTAAGATCATTCTTATGCGAGGCCGTGTCCACACTAAGCAGATCCGTCGCGTCGCATCAGCGAGCCAGCAACTCAATGGCGCCCGCGAGGATGAATACGATACTAGCACCGACCAATTCTACTCTGCTGCTGAGGACCGGGACAAGTCAGGCACCACAACCGAAGGGATGGAGTCTGCGACTGAAACCGAAACCGATCTGTCGGGCTCTGAAGAGGACGAATTATCGGACGACTCGATGGATGATATGATCTCTCTGCAAGCTCCAACTCTGCCCACGACCAATGCTAGTGGAGTTTCGACGCTACAACCGGGAACACCAATGACTGTGGGCACTCTGCGTGGCAGAAAGGTGAGCGGTCTTAGCGGCATTGCTACGCCTGGCTCTGTCTTTTCGAACTTTACCGCAACCACTGCTCGACCGGATAGACCAAGAGGCCGACTATTCAAGGCTCAGGGCCTAATGAAGCAGATTCCTTCAGACCTGCTCCACCCAAAGCCAGCCCTGGAAGATGACGAGGAAGCCAGAATCTATGTTGATGTATCCTCCTTAACTAGGATAGGATGCTTTTCTGGTGACTGGGTTAGGATTGAGGCTGCTGAGGAACCCCCTGCTAATGGGTTCGGTGCCTTTGGCCTGGGAAGCTTTGGACAGACAGACTCGGAACCTGCCAAGTGGCGACCTGTTCGCGTATATGGTCTGCCAGAGGGTTATTCTCAGCGACCTATGACGAGGATTCCAAGTGCAAAGCATGGAGAAAGAAGACTGTCTTTTTTTGAGTCGCAAATCCAGCGACCCACTAGCCCTACGGCTTATGCCTCTCCTATTCTCCTCGCCAACCTTGACGATGCTTCCTATCTTCGCCTCTCTCCCTTGAAGAAGGCGTCTTACCAAGGAAAGGGTACCATCCCTAGATTCACCAGCGCAGCACGGCCTCCTTATGCTCGGGACATTACCATCCACCATATCCGAACCCCTATCTCCGCGGAGCGGGCATTCCAGACCGCTGTGCTGGGTGGCCTGAAGCGATATTTTGCGCAGAAGATCCGCCTAGTCCGGAGTGGAGATCTTATCGCTGTGCCGGTCGATGCTGAACTCGGCCGTACACTCCAGGAGATGCCTGGTGCTGGAGGTTCCGAGGTGGATGATGTGATGGCACTCACCGCAGGCGGCCAGGAGACCGGAAAGCAGCCTTCGAGGTTCGACAGCGTTGCCTGGTTCAAGGTTGGACATATCCAGATCCAAAAGGCCGATGAGGATGAAGACGGTACTGCTGATGCTTTCTGGGGATCGGTTGCTTGCATCGATAGCTCGTCCGTAGCCATGCACGGCTCAGGGTTTGAGACAAGCCGGATACCTGGTATCAAGCAGAGCACCTGGCAATATTATCTTGGTCTTAAGAAGACACCCAGGAGAGCATCTGAATCCACGCCTCCTCCGATTCAGGAGCCCGAGCTGCCATACGTTTCTCCCCTTAGGCGTCAGCTGAGGGAGCTCATTGCTGCTGCCACGAGCGCAAGGGCAATTCATCTCAAGATGCCACCTGTCGCAATCCTTCTGACTTCTACGCACCGCAATATCGGCAAGTCAACTCTCGCTTCCAGTGCTTGCTCTGATATGGGCCTGCATACGTATACGATTGACGCCTATGATATCCTGAGCGAGGGAAGTGGTAGTGGAAGCGATGTGAAGACAGAAGGCTTTCTTAGAACAAGAGCAGAGCGTGCCATGAGCTGTGGCTCTGATTGCTGCGGCTTGCTTCTCCAGCATATCGAGGCCCTGACCGCTGACCGGATTGAGGCCACCATCAAGGAGATTCTGGAGGACACTAGAGTGCTCATTGCCACCACGAATGAGGTCGACAAGGTTCCAGATGGTGTCCGAGGACTGTTCACGCACGAGCTTGAAATGACAGCACCCGATGAGACGGAGCGTGAATCCATTCTCAAGTCTATCATCAGTGACAAGGGCGTCAGTCTTGAGCCTTCTATCGATCTCAACTCGATCGCCCTGAAGACTGCAGCCCTCGTGGCAGGTGATCTGGTAGACGTCGTTGAACGAGCTTCAATTGCCCAGCAGTCTCGCCTTGAGAAGCTCTCGACTAAGAACACTGACGCTGAAACAACCGTTACTGTGCGAGACGTCCAGGTTGCTGGTGGCCCTCTTGCGCGCTGCTTGACCAAGTCGGACTTTGATATTGCCGTGGAGGCGGCTCGCAAGAATTTCTCTGATTCTATCGGCGCACCCAAGATTCCCAACGTCACTTGGGACGATGTCGGTGGCCTGAACAATGTCAAGGAGGCTGTCACCGAAACCATTCAACTGCCACTGGAGCGCCCCGAGCTCTTCGCGAAGGGCATGAAGAAGCGATCGGGTATTCTGTTCTATGGCCCTCCTGGAACCGGAAAGACGCTGCTGGCCAAGGCGATCGCCACCGAGTACAGTCTCAACTTCTTCAGTGTCAAGGGTCCTGAGCTGCTCAACATGTACATCGGAGAGTCTGAAGCCAACGTGCGACGCGTGTTCCAGCGTGCCCGGGATGCTCGACCTTGCGTCGTCTTCTTTGATGAATTGGATTCAGTGGCTCCGAAGCGAGGTAACCAGGGTGACAGCGGTGGTGTTATGGACCGAATCGTCTCTCAGCTGTTGGCAGAGTTGGATGGCATGTCCGGTGGCGATGATTCGGGTGGTGGTGTCTTTGTTATTGGTGCGACCAACCGACCTGATCTTTTGGACCCTGCCCTGCTGCGACCTGGTCGTTTCGACAAGATGCTCTACCTGGGTGTCTCTGACACAAACGACAAGCAGCAGACCATTTTGGAGGCACTGACAAGGAAGTGAGTTAATTACGCATGTTTCT